CTATCATCTTCTGGGACCGAAAGAGTTCAGAAACAACAACCCCAAAATCCTCTCACTGAATGTTCCACACTTTCAAACTATCATCAGGTGCCTTGCTGACAGGTGTGGGCTATCATGCCTCTCCTCAATATGCCATCTTCTACAGTGTGTGTGCTGTTACTTCTCCATGCCATGACAAAAGGCTCTCAGGAATCTCCTCATGTTGTCTTCCTCTGTCTCTTTTTCCAGAGATCTTTCCAGTGGTTAAAAAAATGTTTTTCTGTTGTTTATGATAAATCCTTGCCTATTTAAAAATGAGTTGTTTTTACTTTCCTTCTCTCTTGATTTGTTCATGGTTGGTTGAATTTTACAGCTGAAGTTTTCGACAAGATGGGATAGCCAGTCCCATATCAACATTCCTTAGTTAACTCTTACTTATGACATGCTTGGTTGGTTTAAAAATAAAAAATTGGTTGTGTATACTTTAGAGGAGATAGCTGACCAACTTCACCATTTGTTGGTAGTTTGTGGTTTCACTATGCAATTTTACGTTCAACAGATTAATACTTGAGGAAAATGATGAATAAAAATGGGATGAAAAGGGTGAAAAAAAAAAGAGAAATGTATCAGTAAATCACTAGTAAAAACAGTTATAAGGCAGAAAAAATGGCACTATATTGGACACATTCTGAGTACAGCGAAGAATCACCAAACAGCACTCATTAACATGTAGCAGGTCGCTCTTCACGGTCTGCCTGAAAGAAACTCAGTCTCGCACCAGTTCTCCGCCTCTTGAACTTTTATACCCATGAAGTCACTTACACTCAGTGCCCATCTCTGTGCTGGTGGACCTCCTTCCCTCCTTCTCGGTACAATGCCTTCTGCTATTATTTTTCTACTCTCTCGCGGTGCTTGTTATGGCCAAAATATTTTAGTTTCTAAGACAAAATATTGTTTATACGCCAATCTCCCACGATGTTTAGATCTTTTACAACATCATTATTTCTTTTCTTCTTTGTCTAAGGTATTCTGAGATTTTTCTATAGCATTTCAGTTCAAAAGCCTTAATCTTCTTCCTTAAGGACAGCGAGATAGTCCACGACTCACATCTGTATGTTGTTACAGGGAAGAAACATGCTCTCAAATTTCAAACTTTGATTTCCTTTCAGTTGCTTAACTATATATAGACTTTGATTGCTGTTGAATCTTTGCATTGCTATGGCCATCCTCCTCCTGACTTCTGCTGAAGTCTCCACTGCTGTTTATTATGGAGCCCAAATATTCAAAATTCGTGACATTATTCATTAATTAATTATTGTAAGTTTTGGATGAAAGCCAGTTTTGTCTGTGGACATTATTTTTGTTTTCTTTAAATTGAAGAATATGTTTTGATCTTTACTGTGTTTCTGGACAGACAAGATTAAATATTCTATTCAAACGGGTACTAAAATGGTAAATAAAGTGATAAGGAGGCGAGGATGTCAAAAAGAAACCCTAAAACAAGTGCTGATGAGAGGACCAAAGATGTTCGACCTGACTCCATCCATGACATTGAATTGACTGTACAGAACGGAATAGAGGACTAGACTGTGAGGCCTATGTGACATATAATGGCATAACAGGGCAATAATAATGATGATGATGATGATGAGTATGCCTCTACTTACTGAACAGTCGGCTCTTGATACCATTTTTGAACAGTCTGCTGCTAAACTGACTACAGGTGGAATCAAAGTGGATATCTCAGAATTGCAAACCGCGTTCACAATCTTTAAGCCATAGATGTTGACTCTTGATGCAAACTTGTGGCAGGTTACAGTTTGACTATTCGCCCTCTGACATGTCTCCACCTTGGTGTGGTAGAGACTAGTGTGCTCCACTGACCCCCAAGAGCTAGGCAGACAGCAGTGTAGGTACTGGTAAGATTCTCCCATGTCAATCGATGGGAACCAGACAAAAACACAATGCTGCTACCTGGCAGGTAGGCTGGGGATTGTCTTCTTTGTATTTTTCTTCTTTGCATTCACTGACTGTAGACTCCAGCGACAATTTCTGGCTGTTTGTCCATTTCTAGATTTGCTCTGGTTCCAGAACTTTTGTGTGCACACCCATTTTACAGTTCTGGTTTATTTGTGTGCAGACTGTTGGTTCCTTGACTTCCAAGCAGAGCACTTCGACTTGAAAGGAATGGAAACATTCAAAGGCTAGGAAAAGCAAATTGAAAAAAAAAATCTTGTGAAAATTGCATTCTATAGTTTAATGACACTTGTGGAACCTCAAGCACGAGGAAACTACAAAAACAGTACAATGAAACTTACTTCATGAGATGGATTATTATTCTTTCCCTGCTAAAAAAAAAGGCCATAATAACACACAGGGGGTAGCAACTCTCTAGCTGGCTTATATCCACTAGATCCCTTACTGATTAATCTCTTTTGTCTGCCATCATATCAAATTATCACCCTTCCAGGTTATTTCCCCCTTGCTAGCTATATCCAATTTTCTCGTTTCTAGATATTATTACACTGTCTATATCGCTAGCTACATCCCATGTGCAATCTTTTGTAAACAATAATATTCTATTATCTCCCTTTGATCAACTAAATCTTGCAGCACCAGAAAGTTTTGCAGCAAATGCTTAATAGCGAAAATAATTGCTCTAAAATATCTTGCGCCTGTTAATTTAACCGTTTTGCTCTTAGAATGATATATAAAAAAAAATTTTTTCACTGATTTTTAAATTTAGAAAATGTGTCACTCTTCACAAAACTGTCCTAAAAATAACTCATATTTTACACAGCTCATTTACAAATTTTCAAAATGTATCTATCGACATTTTAAATTTGTTTTCAAAATAAATAAAGACGCATAAAAGAGGTTCATCTTTAAACATGAACAGAGGGAACCATTTAATGGATACACTCCTCGAGGACTAAAAAAAAAATGTACTGGATAACCTCTATCACTGAAGCTTACAGGAAATGTTGACATAAACTTGGCTTTAAAGAGCCACTGGGGTCATAAAGACTCTCCCCCCCCCCCCCCCCCTAGTTACTACATTTGTATCCTGACTGATTAAACACTGCATAGGGGCACACAGAACAAAATGAAATTTAACTATGCTTTTAGAGAACAGATCACTGCAGACAGAATGATAAATCAGCAATTACAGGACTGTGTCGCGACTGAAAATGACTAGATTAAATCTTCTCTGGTTGACAGGGTTAAACAGGTGAAATATATAGTGAAAGTGACTACTTTTGAAAGCCAGAATTTGTTTAGAGGTTTTGACCAAATATAAAAAGTAGAACACACTATGTGATGGTTTCAATTCAATTTCAAACCAAACACTACATGCTGCTTAGAACAGTAAAAGTTCTGTGATTACCCAGATTTGTCTTTTTCTCCTGCTCCTTCTTCTTCCAGGGATCTTCTGAGCATCTGCATGTATCCACATACCCATTTATATATATATATATATATATATATATATATATATATATATATATATATATATATATATTTAGCAGACTGCAACAACTGGCGTGGTATCACCCTACTCTCCGTACCAGGAAAACTGTTCTGCAGCATGCTAATGCAGAGACTGAAAAAGCCAATAGATGCAAGACTCCGAGAAGAACAAGCAGGATTCAGACCGAATCGGTCATGCATCGACCATATATTCACACTCAGGACCATCGTAGAAGAGTCAGTAGAGTTTCAATCCCAACTCATCATCAACTTTGTTGATTTTCAGAAGGCCTTTGACAGCATAAACCGCCCTACACTCTGGAAGCTACTCACAATCTATGGTTTCCAAGATAAATATGTCAATATTATAAAGGCCTTCTACACCGATTCCCGCTGCCTTGTTAGAACGGAATCTGGTAACTCTGATTGGTTCCCAGTAGAAACAGGGGTGAAACAAGGATGTGTCTTGTCACCGATGCTTTTCGGAATAGCACTCGATTGGGTCATGCGCAAATGCACACAGGACACACATCTAGGCATCAAATGGGTCGACAAAGTTCTCGAAGATCTTGACTTTGCTGACGACCTAGCACTCCTGAGCACAACACATCTAGAAGCTCAGGAAAAAAATGGACCGCCTCCAGAATATTTCAAGCCAAATCGGCCTTCAGGTCAACGCAGCCAAAACGAAAATCATCGATCTTACCAACGAGTCGAAAGACATCAAACTAAAGGATATTGTTCTTGAAAAAATCACCAGCTTCACATACTTAGGGAGCAAGATAACCTCTGCGGGAGATACAACATCAGAAATAACGACTCGAATCGCGTTAGCATCAAGTGCCTTTAACAAACTGTCAAACATTTGGAAGTCAAGATCACTCAGCAACAACACGAAACTTAAGGTCTTCAATTCCTGTGTGATCCCAGTGCTAACTTATGGTTGTGAGAGTTGGAAATCATCAGTATCAATCGATAAGAAACTAGTCGCTTTCGAGAATAGATGCCTCCGAAAGCTATTGGATGTTCACTGGTCGGACTTTAGGTCCAATACATCTATAAGACAGGAAACAAAACAAAAATATGTGTCTGATTTTATTAGAATGCGTCGCTGGAATTACATCGGTCACGTACTCAGAATGGACATACAGAGACTTCCCCACCAAGCCTTCATATGGTCACCAGAGGGTAAAAGAAAACAGGGAAGACCAAAAGAAACTCTCCGTAGAACCATCACAAGGGAGAGCTCAACCATAGGTCTCAGTCGCACTCAAGACCTACATCAAGTGGCAACGAACCGACAGACGTGGAAAGCTATGACCTCTGCCCTATGCGCCATCTTTGGCACAAGAGGAATAACTAACTAACTAACTAACTATATATATATATATATATATATATATATATATATATATATATATATATATATATATATATATATATATATATATATATATAATAATGGATATATAAAATAAGCACAAAGACATGCAATCAAAAAGTAACTTTAAAGCCAAAAATCCAAGATGTATCACAGACTGTATCCCTACCTGTTCTGAGCTGGGACAAGCAATGATCTGGATATCTTCCTCCGAGTACTGCTCTTTCAGTAGATCCTGCAGTTTCTGGAAGCCCTGCTGAACATTCACCTGTGGAAAGTTCAAATTCCTAAAACTTCTGTCCAGCTCAATTCATTTCACAGCACACATAAAACTTCTAATATGTGTAGCCCATTCTATACGTAATGAATTATGGTATGTTTTAAAGTCTTGTAATTATATTTTCTATATTTATTATAATATTTATGTACAATCATGGACATGCAATAAGAAGGGCACTAGGATGGCTTGGTACTCAAGAGTTCACACATGCGTGCATACTTAGTGACTTGATAAAGATGCTTAAACAAAACTGAAGCTAGTTTTATCAAGCAAGAATGGATTGCAACACCAAGCACTTTGCGAACGGCTGCCCTAACCTTCATATTTGTGCTAGGTCATGTGGACGTTCAAGGGAACGAGCGTGAAGATTATCTTGCTGACACTGCGATTGTTATGGCTGGTCCCGTACTGGACATAAGCGATGTTATCAATGCCATGGCAGCGCTTACCGTTACAAGCACGCCAAAGGGCACAATCCGTATCCAGGTCTAGGTTGATGGACATGGTGGTGCAGCCTGGAGCTGCAAGAAATGAACATTTCACTAAAGGGAGCAATACGTTTCCTTAACCAAAACAGAACAGGCGTCATCAGTCGTTTTACACATGTGAATCTTTTGAGGAGGAGATCGGATCAACTATGAATCTGTCCGGAGTGCTGTGATGATAATCCTCACTAATCACATGCAATAACAGTGGTGACAGAAGTGAAATAAAGAATGATATCAGGATGAGCCAACAACCAGTATGAGAAAAATACAGAATTCTATAACAGATAACATACTGACAATGAAAACTGTCAATTGTTGGGTATATGTTATTTTACTATACAGTACATAAACATAGATAATAAACATACAATTCAACTGTTGAATATACAGTAGAATAGTGTATACTTCGTGCAGGTAAATGTAATCAAACACAGAGGATTCGGAAAACCTCTGAAGGCCCCATTATGAGTTTGGGGTGTTTCCTTCGAAGACAGAGTATATCTATCTGCCTGACAGGCGAAGAATGAACATTTCTGCATACTACATTCAATAAGCCAGATCCGTGAAATAGATGTGCATGGAAAACTCAAGTTCTGGAACAAGACAAAAATCCAACAGTGGATGAACAACCAGAACTTTCTGACCGAGTTTACAGTCAATGAACATTACGAAGAGGAGGGAAGTAGGAGAAACTGGTAGTGAAAAGAAAGTTGAAATAAATAAATGGATAACTGACATATTTTCCACTACTGCACATTGAAACACAACTACTTTTCAACAAACCAAACTGGAGCAAAAATGCTGAAGGCAAGCAAGCAAAATAAAGACAGTTTTAGAGCCAGTGTGGATCAAAGAGTGGACGAACATAAGTCTGAGATAGTGTTATACTAGGGTAATAGGTAGTGCCTACTGTGCCAACTTTCCAAATTATTTCTTGATCTATGACACAATCTCTAGTGATAATAAACCAGGATTTTTGGCTTTGCTTGCTCTGCAAAACAAACAAAACAATCGCCACGTTCAACCGGCATCAACGAAGGGGTAGCTTTAGGTTTTAATTGTGACTAGTTTATGTGCGCCATATAAAATGGCTCAGTATTGCTTCTCATCAACAAGCACTAAAAAAGAACTCTTGCAGTGTTGCAGGAGACAGACTCAAATATAGTCCCGACCGGCGACTAAGTCCGTCTATCAGCTGGCCAATGGGACAGACCAAAATACTGTCCCGACCAGCGACTAAGTCGTCTATCAGCTGTCCAATGGGACAGATCAAAATACTGCCCCGACCGGCGACTAAGTCATCTATCGGCCATCCAATGGGACAGATCAAAATACTGCCCCGACCAGCGACTAAGTCGTCTATCAGCTGGCCAATGGGACAGACCAAAATACTGCTCCTGACCGGCGACTAAGTCGTCTATCAGCTGGCCAATGGGACAGACCAAAATACTGCCCCGACCGGCGACTAAGTCGTCTATCAGCTGGCCAATGGGACAGATCAAAATACTGCCCCGACTGGCGACTAAGTCCTCCATCAGCTGGCCAATGGGACAGACCAAAATACTGCCCCGACCGGCGACTCCAAGTCGTGGGACAGATCAAAATACTGCTGGCCAATGGGACAGAGCTGGCCAATGGGACAGCGCTGGCCAATGGGACAGATCAAAATACTGCCCCGACTGGCGACTAAGTCCTCCATCAGCTGGCCAATGGGACAGACCAAAATACTGTCCCGACCGGCGACTAAGTCGTCTATCAGCTGGCCAATGGGACAGATCAAAATACTGCCCCGACCAGCGACTAAGTCGTCTATCAGCTGGCCAATGGGACAGTGCTGGCCAATGGGACAGATCAAAATACTGCCCCAACCGGCGACTAAGTCGTCTATCAGCTGGCCAATGGGACAGATCAAAATACTGCCCCGACTGGCGACTAAGTCGTCCATCAGCTGGCCAATGGGACAGACCAAAATACTGCCCCGACCAGCGACTAAGTCGTCTATCAGCTGGCCAATGGGACAGATCAAAATACTGCCCCGACCGGCGACTAAGTCGTCTATCAGCTGGCCAATGGGACAGATCAAAATACTGCCCCAACCGGCGACTAAGTCGTCTATCAGCTGGCCAATGGGACAGATCAAAATACTGCCCCGACCGGCGACTAAGTCGTCTATCAGCTGGCCAATGGGACAGACCAAAATACTGCCCCGACCGGCGACTAAGTCATCTACCGGCCATCCAATGGGCGAAATGCTCACAGATGAACCAGGATTTGTTCTGTGCCAGGGTACATAGTACCGGCACCCCCCTCATTGTTTTGAGGGGACATTGTTTGCCAGTGCTACTGCAGTAGACAGTTTGTGGTGAATACAGGCACATTTTAAGATACTTTGTGGTGAGTACCAGCACCTTTGTTTGTGTGGGGGGGAGTCCTATAATAGACAATCTTTCACCTGTAACCAGACAAAACATCAGTGAGCCTAAATTTGTGCCTTCCAGAGCGGGTGGTAGTGTGACTACAGAGATGAGAGTCATGTGCAGATCAATGGAGGTTAGCATTCTGCAAGGTAATGAATCCATACAAACTGGTGCTGCCTTAATTAATTGTGTGTGCAACTACTGATCTGTTGTAACTACTGATTCCATCAATAATAAAATGCATTTCTAGTGTCGGACCGTTTGTATTGGCACTTCTGACTGCTGCTTTATGCACTTAATGCATGTGTATGCTACTGGATTTGCTGAGACGACAATCTGTACCAATTTTTCCACAAGCGACAGTGATGAACATTCTGCGAGGTCTTTCATTCGCACAGGAATAGAGCAACTATGAGGTGACCTGTATGCTGTGAAATTGGAACTGTAAAATTCAAACTACTTGAATGCCCATAAATTTATGTCACCACCACTAGTCTGAACACCGAAATGTTTCTGCTGTCTAGTCTTCTTTACAATAGCATCTGTGATTTAGTGTCTATGAACACACTTCCCTCATTCCAACGCACCAGCAGCTGAAGTTAGCGGCAGGTGACTTGGCGGCAAACCATTTTGTATTGATTTCAACATTATGTGCACTGAACCCTCCAGAAAGCAATGATAAACTAGTGAACTTAAACTGCCTGGCGAAACCAGTCAGTCAGTCAGTCAGTCAACAAATGATAGTGTCAGCTGAGACACCCCAGTAAATAATTTGAACTATTCAAAGTCAGAACTGGGCACAACAGACTTTGTCAACAAATGTTCAAATTTGTCGGTGTACGAAACACGGTGATGTGTCCCTGCAGTGTGGCACCCTAAAATGCTGAGAATGTGTTCCAACACTGTCAACTGTATGCTGACAACAGAGACGCAATCTGGCCTGTTCCAACCACAATGAAGACAAAGTTGTATGGTACATGAGAGGATATGGACTGCACAACAGCTTTCATAAAGGCTACCGGCCTCCTAATAAAAAAAAATTCTGTCAGAAGGATTGAAGAAGAAAAAGAAATAATTTGTAAAGTTTTTGTTGACACTGAAAAAAAAAAATGATGTTGCATCCAGTCAAAGCAAAACTGCTACATTTGTGCCATAGCTTTATAACATCATTTCTTCTACATTCGCCTTCCTATGAACCAGGGTAGCACAGTGACTACGCACTAGCCTGCCCTCCTAAAGGTTGTAGTTTGAGTCTGCCTTGAGGTGAATGTGCATAAATGGCATAGGCTTCCAGGTTGATGGACCCAGTCTAAAATGAGTACCAGGAAAAGTCCTGGGAAGTAAAGGTGGTGGTGATGTTGACCACATCATTAATCAAGCCCTGGCTGACTAAACAATATGGCCTAAGCACCATATGTCAACAGTGTAAAATGGTCCTATATTTTTTTTTAAGTTTCTTTCCTCTCCAATTCCGACTTTCTTGGCTAGAGTACAGTAATACAGCCTACATGAAAAGTCAACAACTGATAAGTAGGTCTCAGTAACCCGCCTGGGAGTAACAAAAGCAGTTTCATAATTTCAACATATCTAGTTCAATTCAGCTACTGCTTATAATGATATAAGTGTCAAACCATTCAGAAGCAATGGCAAACTACTGATATAAGATTACCTAATAAAACCACTAAAGCTAACAAATGACAGAGTCTGTTTGCAACATCCTTTAAAAGTATGCAACAGACTTTATTAAAGGGCTTACTTAGTTCTGGTTGCTTGATTCTGTTGGTTAGTGCGTCCTCAGATAACTATCACGAGAGTCAACCAGGGCCTACAGATTAACATATTTCATAAACTTTACAGGTCACTGAGTAAAGTAAAAAAGACAGCAAAGTTCATACTAAAGACAAAGCTGCAGATATAGATAATCTATTTCAAGTAAACAAAAGAAGAAGAAGTCTTTACAACCCTCACCTTGATTGGCCTGAACAATATGGCCTCTGTATCTTTGTTCGCCAGGTACAAAGACATGCTCCGCTGAACCAGCGGTAGTTTTGTCTTAATGTTTTTGTATGTCTCGGCTACAATATCATGGATCTTCTCCGGGGATGCAAAAGGCTGTTGTCGCAAGGTCACCTTACTTGTTGCATCTTCTTTCTTCATGCTAGTTATAATATCTGCCTGTAAAGACGGAAAGTGATTTTACTGTCTATGAGATATACAATATTTCAATAAGTCTACAAGACAGAAAATTATTTAATTAAACTTATTAGACATAGGTAATTGGACAATCAACCTCATAAACAAAAGATGGGCAGAACAGGATCAAGTTTCCTTTATGCCAGAATGGTCAGATGTGCAGATCTGCACTTCACGGATCCATCTGTGTAGAAGATGATGAAGTCTTCTGGGTGTGAATGGTACTCTGTCAGTGCCTTTACCTCTGTGTCTACAGCTGCAGGAATTGGATCCCTGCAGCACAACCTTCAAGATACCATGCATGGTGTATCAGTCCATTCTTTTCCATGACTGGTCTTGTCTAGGTCACATACTTGCTGGATTAAATCTTCAGTCTTGTCCATCCAGGACCGGCCTCTTTTGAGACACATTCGTTTTGTATTGTGTATAGCTTTGTGCAGTCGGTGGTTAATGTCTGCCGATGCCCTCATGCACGCCCTGGCCTGCACAACTTTGTATCTGATAGCCAACGTCAGTAAACCGATGACATATCGCATGGCGTGGCAGTCTTTTGTGCAGCACAGTATGAGTCTCATGGCCTCATTTTGTACTCTGTCCATCCAGTCTTTCTAGCTGGGTTCTGCTGACACTGAGGAGGCCTAGACCATAGTCAATGGTGCTTAAGAAAAGCCCCTGACAGAGAAGAAAAAGTAGGCATTGTTCAATATCAGCTGCTGCTAGCACCTTGAGTGCTGTCAGACAGTTCCTGGCTCTAAGTATGACGTCTGCGTGATATTTGTATGACAAGCATCTGTCAAATGTCATTCCCAGGTATTTCATCATGTCTATTCGCTCAATGTCCACACCACACATGCTTACGACTAGCTTAGGTGTACTGACAATTTGCGTATTTAGAAAGAACCATGGTAATGAGACCTTTGACGGTTCACTTGTGCTCTCAATTCCTGGAATCACTAAGTTTGTCTAGTTCATGCTGTAGCATGGTTGTAATTTTGTGCCTGCTTCTACTTTGAAGGTACTCAAGGATATTATCTGCATACATTGTTCTGCCCAGGCCTACTTTATTCACTGGTGACTCCTGCTGTGCACACACTGAAGAGCACCGGCGACAATGGTGATCCCTGGGACAGGTCCATTAGGACCCGTTGAGGTTTCAATGCAGAGATTTTAGTTGTGTGTGTATGCTACTGGCATCAGCGACTGTGTCTTGGGCATTGCGAAAAAGCTCTGTAGTGCCGGGTTCGATTCCAGCTGTGGGCCTTGTGCCTTGTATTGGTTTTGACAGTGGTATCAAGAAGCTGACCATTTAGAAAGTAATGGCAAACTACTGGACATAAATTTGCCTAGAAAAACCACAACAGCCAACAAATGATGGGGTTGGTCTGCAAAGTCCTGTAAAGGATACGCAACTAAAAAAAAACAATGCTACTGGCTTTGATGACACTGCAGTCTGTGTCAATACTATTTCCCCAAGGAAAAGTGAAGGGCATTCTGTGTGGATCTGGTTAGCACAAGAACAGAGTGATCATTCTGTGTGGATCTGGTTAGAACAAGGACAGAGTGATCATTCTGTGTGGATCTGGTTAGCACAAGAACAGAGTGATCATTCTGTGTGGATCTGGTTAGCACAAGAACAGAGTGATCATTCTGTGTGGATCTGGTTAGCACAAGAACAGAGTGATCATTCTGTGTGGATCTGGTTAGCACAAGGACAGAGTGATCATTCTGTGTGGATCTGGTTAGCACAAGGACAGAGTGATCATTCTGTGTGGATCTGGTTAGCACAAGAACAGAGTGATCATTCTGTGTGGATCTGGTTAGCACAAGAACAGAGTGATCATTCTGTGTGGATCTGGTTAGCACAACAACAGAGTGATCATTCTGTGTGGATCTGGTTAGCACAAGAACAGAGTGATCATTCTGTGTGGATCTGGTTAGAACAAGAACAGAGTGATCATTCTGTGTGGATCTGGTTAGCACAAGAACAGAGTGATCATTCTGTGTGGATCTGGTTAGCACAAGGACAGAGTGATCATTCTGTGTGGATCTGGTTAGCACAAGAACAGAGTGATCATTCTGTGTGGATCTGGTTAGCACAAGAACAGAGTGATCATTCTGTGTGGATCTGGTTAGCACAAGAACAGAGTGATCATTCTGTGTGGATCTGGTTAGCACAAGAACAGAGTGATCATTCTGTGTGGATCTGGTTAGAACAAGAACAGAGTGATCATTCTGTGTGGATCTGGTTAGCACAAGGACAGAGTGATCATTCTGTGTGGATCTAGTTAGCACAAGAACAGAGTGATCATTCTGTGTGGATCTGGTTAGCACAAGAACAGAGTGATCATTCTGTGTGGATCTGGTTAGCACAACAACAGAGTGATCATTCTGTGTGGATCTAGTTAGCACAAGAACACAGTGATCATTCTGTGTGGGTCTGGTTAGCACAAGAACAGAATGATCATTCTGTGTGGGTCTGGTTAGCACAAGAACAGAGTGATCATTCTGTGTGGGTCTGGTTAGCACAAGAACAGAGTGATCATTCTGTGTGGGTCTGGTTAGCACAAGAACAGAGTGATCATTCTGTGTGGGTCTGTTTAGCACAAGAACAGAGTGATCATTCTGTGTGGGTCTGGTTAGCACAAGAACAGAGTGATCATTCTGTGTGGGTCTGGTTAGCACAAGAACAGAGTGATCATTCTGTGTGGGTCTGGTTAGCACAAGAACAGAGTGATCATTCTGTGTGGGTCTGGTTAGCACAAGAACAGAGTGATCATTCTGTGTGGGTCTGGTTAGCACAAGAACAGAGTGATCATTCTGTGTGGATCTGGTTAGCACAAGAACAGAGTGATCATTCTGTGTGGATCTGGTTAGTACAAGGACAGAGTGATCATTCTGTGTGGATCTGGTTAGCGCAAGGACAGAATTGATTACAGCGTGAACCGTTTGCTATGAAGCTGGAACTGCAATTACCTGATAACTTGCAAGCAAACCTTAAATTAAGTGACATCACATGGGTTAGTTCAATTTAAAACATAAAACAGTTAAATGAGTCTTAACCATTGATCATCATAGGTTTATAATTCAATAAGAAACCTGTAAATAAGTCACACATGTGACATAAAAAGTGAAAAGAGTCTTACCCGTGACATGAAAGCGTTCAGTGGAGCAGTGAAGAGATCTGTGACGTGGTGTATAAAATCCTCACAACTTGTCTTCAGCTGTTGATCCACATCCCGCTTGGAGTCCACAAACATTTCCATGACCTGAGGAGTGCCCTGGGAATTCAAAGGAAAAACCCACAGGTCACAACATAATTTTATTTTCTATCTTTCACACACAACTCATGTAATGCATGTCTGTTCTAGATCCCACCGGGACGCAGAGGTCCTCAATCACATGTGGCGGACAAGAGCTCACACTGCTGCCTTCCTACAAACAGGTGCCCAACTAGAAGCCTGTCCAATGTTGAAAGGATCAACATTTCCTTTAAAGTCAGAGTGCATTTGCCTGAGAGTCAACAACTAACAGTCTGCACATAAGTAAGCCAGATCCGTAAAACGCTGTAAAACTATATTCAAGTCCTGGAGCAAGGCTATATCCAGAAGATGTCAAACAACCAGGACTTTTCACCGTTTATGAGAAGAAGACGGTATCCCACTCTAATGTTTCAACATACTCCTTTGCTCTCAAAATCTCTCTACATTTCTCCTAACTCTACTACCACAACGCCTCTATCTACTATCTTCTCCACTACCATTTTTGCCTACTAACTTTTTCCCCATACTACTTCAGTCATGCGGCCAGGCGAGTACTTTGCGGCATAAGCAGCAAAATCAAAATAAAATGTGAACATTTAAGGGGCAGCGTTTCAAGGACTTGCATCATACAGAGAAACTCTACTGCATGGACTTGCATGTGGCCACTGACACCATTATCATGTGATCTCTTTATCAGCTACTGAAGAAAAGAGCACGTGTGGGAATACCACACAGGAAGGGAAGTCTATTTTGGATATTCACTAACTCAGTCATCCTCTAGGCTATTTTTTCTGACCTCCATATTCTCTCTTACCCCTGCTAACTCTCTTTCCAATGCTAAACACTCACCTCGAGAATGAACTGAAGCAGTGCATTGTTGCTGTTGAGAGAAAAAAACTGAGATTTCTTGTGGAACAGAGAGTAGGCAGCATCTGAAAAGAGATGATCAAAGGTACACTTAGTTATAATTAAGCAGTTCACTATCAACACACACAGGCACAGTTTCCATTCCAGTTCCCCATCCTGCTGTTTCCTTGTCCTCATTCCAGCTGCCATACGCAGAGACAGCTTCCAGATCTTGTGATGTACTGTCCTGTTCTGCAGTAGGATTACTATTACCTTCTAAACCTAGTCTGTTTCTCCTAAACAACACATACTTGGTCCAAAATGATATCTTTCAGTTGTGAATTTAAATGAGTATAATTGAATTCCTAACTCATTTTATTTCTTCAGAATAAGGATGTGAAATCCCACGTAATGTGAACAAAAGGATAACATGGTTAATGTAGGACTTCTGTGGTGAGACATACACTATGGTAAAGGACTATGTGATCTGCATACTTTGGTCACAATTACTCAGTTTTGTGTTTCACTGTTTATGTAAATTTTGCAGCATGTACTTGAGGGTGCACAGCAACATTTGCCAGGCAATAAATTGTGCAATACTGCTTGTGGCCAATTCAACCACATCACCCAAAAATTAAGTAACAACAACATTATGAAGAAACTAAATCACTACAGTAAACAAGTTAAAGTCCCCCCCCCCCCCCCCCCCCCCCCCCCCCCCCCCCCCCCCCCCCCCCCCCCCCCCCAAAAAAAATACTACACAAAGTATAAACAAGAAGGTGAGATGGACGTACAGCACAAGGTAGGCCCAGAACCAGATCAAGTGAAAGGCTTAATGGCTAAAGTATTCTGTCATTTCTAATTGTGGAAGATTGTTATGTGGCAAGATATGCTGCACCACACAAATATATTGCTGGTGCTCTCATTACACAAACTACAAAACTGACCTATTCAACTAAATTAATCAATAATCCATTTTTTTTAAAAATAACAAAATGATGAGAAGAAACTAAATTACTAAAGCGAGGAATGTTGTATTAAGAATTAAAATCACAGCACTCAGGACACTCCCATAAGTGCTCAGTCCCCATATTCAGCAGCAAACGAAGAGTTCCAATTCCGATGGTACCAGTAATCGTCTGATTGTATATCCGTCTCATCCTTCCCTTGAGGGTTGAACCTCGGCCAGATCCCCAGGTAACTCCTCGCAGCACCATTCTCCTTAGATCTCACAAACTGTATAGTGAGGTACTCCTCCTAAACTATACCGCATGGCACACTAACAAACTGTACAGTGAGGTACACTCACAAACTGTTTAGCAAGACTCTCACAAACTGTATAGTGAGACACTTACACATATTTGCTTTAACAAAAATCTATACAATTTGTGCATGGAATTTAGCCACATAGAGCCATTCATATATACATTATCGATAACCTGGAATGGGATATCAAACACAACCACACACAAACACTGACACATAAAATAAAAACTACATTTACAAATGATAAACAATTTTAAAGTCATTATGAAATTACTACTTGATTTTAGAAAAGAAACTTTTAAATTTTATCTTGCTTTTGTTTTCATTTGCTGACAATTCGATCGTGTAATTTCTACAGCTTTTTAGCACTTGTATTTCTGTAAAACTAATTACATTTGTTGCTTTCTCTGTCAGTCAGTGCATCCTCAAAGCTAACAATAGTTAACACCACTGAATTTATGTACTGAAATTAACAGCAGGACAAAATCTGGCTAATCACAGGTTTACATGGTTGTAATCAGAACAGAAGGAAGCAGATTTTAATGTAGATCCATACAGCATGCAAAACATGTTATTGTCATTGGCAGTGAGAAATGGAAAATTCTATTAAGACAATGCAGCTCCCAAGAGTATACACCAAAGTCACAACAAAGAAATAGACTACAGAATAAAACATGCAGCAGCCATTATCATTAAACAAGCATCCACAGTTAGACCAACAGCATTATTAAATTGGTGAGTACTGATTATCAGTTACAGAGAAGGATAGAAAACAAGCGGAAAGATGACAGTTCACACTAGTCACAGTAAATTCATTCTGCATTTAGATATCACAAGTTCAATGTTTTTTCTGTACCTCCACATTCCAACCCCCCCACCTCCCCCCCCCCCCCCCCCCACCCCCCCACCCCCCCCCCCCCCCCCTCCCCCCCCCCCCCCCCCCCCCCCCCCCCCCCCCCCCCCCCCGACAGGTCAAGGAATTCATGCCAAGTACATCTATGTTTTGCTTTTACATGATGCTCTCTCCACCTCCTCATATTATTCCTCATTGTCTAATTTTATAATCCATGTGTTTTAAGTTCTACTTTAATTTCTTCTGTCATGTGGGTTCCCCCAAAAACCATTCTAGTTATACTATTAACAGGTTTTCTCCTATTCAGAGCTGCTGTCCACCTCTTGATTTGCTGGAATTCTTTTAGTTCCTTACAAGCTAAGCATTCATCAGTTCTCGTTATGCCTAGTGGCACATGAGGCTTCAGAGAGGACTTTCCATGCTTTCCTGTCCTGTGCAATCTTCAGTGCAGTTTTCCATGTCAAAGATGCCGCACTCAGGCCACTTTCCATCGTTCGTCTCCATGTTGTTTTTGGGCGTCCATATTTTCTCTTTCCCTCTGGTGTCCATGTGAGAGCTGTTTTGGCAGGTATATCAGAAGTCATTCTCATAACGTGGCCAAGCCATTTCCATCTTCTCTTGGTAATCATACTGTCTAAAGTTTTTTGGTTTGTGGCTTGAAGTAGTTTAGTGTTTGAGATTGTATCTGGCCAGAAAATTTTGATAATTCTATGTAGACATGTGTGGTGGAAGGTGTACAGCTTGTATGCATCCTTTTTGGTCATTCTCCAGCATTCCGCTCCATAAAGAAGAACTGGCAAAATGATGCTCTTGTAGAGTCGGAGTTTCGTTCCTCTGCAGTAATTGTTGGCTTTCCAGATTTGCCTCATCCTTCCAAAAGCAGCTCTAGCTTTGTTCAGACGTGACGTATGTCTTCCTCTATCCCTCCCAGTAGGGACACCACACTGCCAAGATATGTGAAATGTTCTACATTTTCAAGTGATTGGTTACTTATGGTCACTGGTTGTTGGTTTGGACTGTCTGTCATGATCTTAGTTGTCTTTGTATTTATTCTCAGTCCTACCATTTCTGCTGTTCAGTTTAGTCTGTTACTTTTTTCTTGTATATGTTCATGTTTATGTGATGGGAGTGCTATATCATCTGCAAAATCAAGGTCCTCAAGCATGGTGAATGGAGTCCATCGTACGCCTCTTAATGTCCTGTCTACTGTGTTCTTTAGTATCCAATCAATCACAAGGTTGAAGAGGAGAGATGACATAACACATCCCTGTGTTACACCCGTCTTTACTGGGAAAGATGTATTGTAATTTTTTATACTGCAGGAAAAGTCTTTATAGAAGAGAGCAATTATGTTGACTATTTTTTCTGGAATTCCATAATGTCGTAAAATTTTCCACAGACCGTCTCTATGGACGCTGTGAAAAGCTTTCTCAAAGTCCACAAAATTAATATATATACTTCTCTGCCATTCGTTACATTGTTCTAAAATGTTATGTATGGCGAAGATGTGCTCAGTTGTTCATCTGCCCTTTCTGAATCCTGCTTGTTCCACTCGTAGGCATTTTTCTACTCCTTTTTCAAGCCGCATTATGATGATTTTACAAAATATTTTTCTTGGTACTGAGAGTAGAGTAATTCCCCTCCAGTTATTGCAGTCTGTTAAGTCTCCTTTTTTGGGGATTTTGACTATTGTTCCTTCAGTCCAGTCATCAGGCAACACTTCTTTTTCCCAAATATCCTTGAACAATGGTTCTAGAGTGCTAGCAGTTGTGTATTGGGATCTACTTTGAGAAGTTCTGCTGGCAGTTCGTCTTTGCCTGGTGCTTTGTTGTTCTTTAAAGTGTGGATAGCTTTAAGGATTTCTTGTTTGCTTGGTGGTTGAGTAATAATGTCAATGTCCTGAGAGGCTGGTTGAATATCTGGGGGATTTTCAGGATCAGGTCTGTTCAAGAGGTCGGAGAAGTGTTTAGTCCACTGCATGTCTTGTTTTTGTTCTGTGGTGAGCAGTCTGCCTTGGTTATCTCTGATGGGTATGCTGTGATAATTGTTTCTGTTTCCGCAAATTTGCTGGGTAGTTTTGTGTAGGGTTTGTAGATCATGTGCTGCAGCAGCATTTTCTGCTGTTTCTGCAAGATTTTCCATAATTCTTCTCTTGTCAGCTCTGGCACTTTTCTTGGTCATTTTATTTAGTTCGCTATATTCTAACATTAGTTTGTCTTTCTGACGTTCTGATTTAGTGTGATTTATGAGGCTCTTTATTCTTTTTCGCTTGGCAATATAGTCCATGGTTTGACTACTTATCCATTCTTTGTGGTGTTGTTTCCTGGTTCCTACTATGTTATTGCTAGTTGATTTGTATGTTTCTTTGATCTGGTTCCATCTGTCTTGAATGCTGACTGTAGTTGGAGTTTCTGGGTCACTTGACAGGGTTTGAAATCTATTCTTGAGTTCTACTATAAATTTAGTGGCAATGTCTTTTTCTCTTAAAAGGTTAACATTGTAACGTGCACAAGCTAAGCAATAATGCTTATTTAATATCATTTAAGTCCTAATCTGTGACGGCACCAGCTATTTAATGTTTTTAATTTATTACAACTTATTATTTTCTCTACTCCTGGAATGTCTTAAGGTGTCATGGCTGCAAGAGATCTCTGGAACAGGCCTTTCTCTTTGCTTTGTATAAAATACTTTTCAAAGTTTCTGATATTTCAGTGGTCCATCTTCTGCATAATCTCTGGCTCTGTTACAGCTGAACCTGTATTAACAATGCTGTCTGTGGTGCCCTGTCGGTAGCCAATCTTGTTAGATGGCCAAACTATCTGATCTGTTGTCTACTGATGAAGTTTAGTACTGGTTCTGTTCTCCTCCTGATCATAATTTCTAAGTTAATCTTTCCTTGTTACACCTAGCATAATATGTAAACATTTCATTTCTGTCATGTCTATGTTTTTTTTTCTTCTACTGTCTTCCGAAAATGGTGTCCATGTCTGACAATGATAGCATAGCGCTGGTAATAATAATGTGTTGTACAGTACTACTATTTCATATTCACGTGCTTGTATTTTATTACTGGTGCCACTGCCATTTGTCCTATAACTTGATTGGCTTTAGTGCATCTTTTTGTATTTCTTGATTCGCTCTTCTGTTCTCTGAAAAAATGCTCCAATCTCTTACTAGTAACTGGTTTAGTAATTCTTCATGTGTCTGATCCATAGAACAGTATCAACTTCACATCAGAATTAAACTACCAAAGTTGAGTTGTAGATTCAACTTCTTTTGAAATAACACAAATGTCCCTGTGCTAGGAAAGCTCTGTAGCCTCCTGTATTTGTATTTTACAATCCCTCCCTCTCTTATTACATTCCTATCTAAATATGTGTATGGTTCCACCTCTTGCTATTTGCTTCATTTATTTTTATCTTTTTTTCCCTATGAACTGTTAGATCTAACTCCTGCAACCTCTTATCATGTGTGTCTAATGAATACAAATTCCTGCCAGATGATTCATCCACACCAGTTGTTGGAGTGTAATACTGGATCACATTCACACTTTTTGTTGGTTTGTTGCTAAAGCTAATATTATTAAATCAAAACGTTGGTTTGTGTGTGTGTCACTCCTTGTTTTCTCAACCTCTTTAGATAGCATTAGTGCCACTCCACAGTTAGGGCAATTTCACAGTGTATAGCCTGAGAACAGCAGTTTCACCTGTGTTTAGCAGCTTTCTTCTGCTTTGTTTCACACAAAATAGCTTCCCTTCATCTTTGTCAAAAACCTTTCAATTTGGTTGAGTGAGTTGATCTCATTATTTTGCTTTTAGTCTTGATAACGACTGGTTGAATTTTGCAGTCAAGACTGACTAAGGGATGGAGTAGCTGATGAAGGTTTACCTTCGGAATGTCTGTCAGTTGTTTGTGTTTTTGTAATGTGCATTTACTGTAATGTGCGTTCCCTTTCTTGTATGCAGTCCCACACCCAGGGTAGTCTTCTTTATCAGCATTTTTATATTTCTTCTTCTTCTCTTCCTCCTCCTCTTCATCTCTTTCTCAAGTTAGTAAGTAACATGGACATGGGTGTGGCAACCTTGAACTGTGAAAAATGAATATTTCACAAGATGTTTGATAAATAACATAGAACAGGCGTCATCTGTTGTTTTTCCCTTGTGAGGCTTTGAGGATTACGGAGCTCTTATAGATCTGCCTGGAGCACTGTGGGAAATAATGTTCACTAATCATTTCTTTGAGCTGGAAGAGACTGAGGCCTTACCATGAAATAATCCCGAAGACAACAGTGGTTACAGTGTAGCTAACTTTTATTGTGGAGACAGCCCATCGCTATATCTTTCCCTTTTGTTTACATAATAAATGGCAAAATATATTCATCTCTATGCTGTGAAGGTGTTAGATGTTGTGCGACATTCTATAGTTTATTAGATAAAGTGTTAACACATGTTACGTTATGTTATGTTATCACAATTGATGTCACTGCACATTGGGCATTCCCATAAGTCCTCAGTCCTCCGATGCAGCAGCTACTCCAAGGTACTTCTACTAACTGTTCCCATGAAAAGTTGGTTATAATGTCTCCTGTCTCGGCCTCAAAGGCAGCACAAACGTACTTCACCGTGCTTTACCTCCATGTCAGACAATCATGTTAGTGTCAGATATTCATCATTACCCACTAGCCCAGTCTGTACAATGTTGACGATATCTTCTCTGTGGTTAATATAACATTGTATCATTTAATCTGTCACACTTCTCTGTGTCAGTTCCAGGGTCCCCATTTTGGTAGAAAACACCAGAACAAACCCAAAGTCCCCTTAACAAGCATGTTGAAAAAGGCAACTATTTAGGGAGCTTGTTGAAATTGGATGTGTTGGGCCAAATGGCTGCAAAACAGCTCAGTATGCAGTCTCAACAATTGTATGTAACACAGATATTATGATATGTATACAGACACTGGGTACTATCACTTACTGCAAACAAGGTCCACTCTCAGGTACTCATACACAAGCACAGACACATAAGCAAAAAAAAGTAAATGAAATGCATACCCAAAATGGAATGAAAACCCAGACTCTGATCCATTAATCCTGCCAAATCTGTGGGAATCCATGGTTGTAAAGAGCAAGGGGACATGAAATCAACTGGCTATCCCACCACTAATCAGATCAGGCCAATGAAAGTAACAAGTCAAGGATCCTTGTCCACGCCTTCAGGGGTGCTGGGCACATACAGCTAGACCTATATTTTACAGATCAATCAGCACTGTGTGGGAGCTGTGGTCAACACAAACTGGCTGCCTTTACTTCCAAAGACTTTACCTGGTAACCATTTAAGGCTAGGTCGACCTGGGAGCCAAGGCCCTTTTTGAAAAAAAGTCTGGCACCTTTAGGAGCTGAACCTTTGACCTTTAGATCTGCAAACGAGCATCTAGAATCTACACAATGGTGTTTCAGCTCCGTAAAAGTGACAACTAAAAACATGTTTAATGAGTGTAAGTAAACAGAGCGCTGCCTACCTCAGAACAAATAATTCGTAACTGCCTGAAGTGTCTAAACAATGGGTTACCCACCTCAGGAGTAATGATTTTTGCCTGGGCAATATGAATAAACATTGGGATATCTACACATTGAACTAATAACTGTTTACTGTGAAATGAGTTCATAGTAGGTTGTGTATCTAAGGGCTATGAGTAGTCATTTTAATTGGGTGAAATGAGTAAACAATCGGTTATCTACCTCAGAACTAAACATTTCTGAGGTTTTCTGGGGGAAAAAAACTAATAATTTTTTACTAGGTAAAATGGGTAAACAATGTGATAGCTGCCACAGAGCTCGTATATCACTGAACATTTCAGGTATTATATAATGCAGCAATAATTTCAATGATGACGGTTGCACAGCATGACATCTCTTCCTGTCTCTCCCCTGTACACATGTGTGTGTGTGCTTAAGTATGTATGAAATTTACAGTATTCCCAAATTTGTATTTTAGAAGATTCTCTGTGTTGATTCCGGGGAAAACAAGAACAGATCCACTGCCTCACCAACAAGCATGTCACAACAGTCACTAATTGGGGGGAGGGGGAGGAGGGCTTTCTTCGAAGTCAGAGTATATCTGCCAGAGAGACAAGGAACAAACGTGCATACTAATAAGCCAGTAAAATGGATGAAGACGCAAAACTCAGGCCGTGGCACGAAGACACAGTCCAAATGGATGAACAGCCAGGACTTTCTGCTGGAGCTTACAGCTGGTGAACGAAGAAGCAGATTTTAGAAGATTGCATAATGAGATGTGGTAGCCAGCTTATTTTGTGCACCTTTCTTTTCCCTACAATGCCCACACTTCTAACTGTTATCTGGTAGCCATAAGGCATATGGTTTAATCTCTGTATGTTAACAGAACAATAGGCATTCAACAGGTGATAAGGTCAGTAATACACCGGCCAACTTCATTTTTCATAGCATTTCACAGTACTCATTTTTGGCTGCACTGAGCTGGGAGCTCTGATTAATTTTAGCATTTAATCACTACCCAATGATCAAACCAGTATAAATGGGTTCATTATGCACATGATTAGTTCAACCAATGGGGGAAGAGTATGTGTGAGTGCATTCTATACAAATTATTGTTTATGTGAAAAAAGGGGGATTAAAAAAAATGGGGGGGGGGGGGGGGGGGGGGTGACCATCTGAAATCCTGGCTAATGGACTGCAGCAACACCCAGAGATAAACCAGACATCTGTCATGACTTTTGGTGTGGTAGGAAATGTCAACAATCAAGAGACCGAAATCCCCCATCTAAACAAACGAAGGTACAAATCTGGCAGTCTCTGGACACAAGAGTTTTCTTTAATTCTACTTTATGCAAAATTAAAAAGCAAGCTAACATCTACACTAGTGAGACTACAAGCAAACAAAGAATATATACAGCAGCAGAAGCAGTATTTAATAAACAGATAAGGGCAACCCTACAGTAGTGATTTCCAAGCTGCATGATTATCTGAACAAAAAATTCACTGTCACGCCAAACTTTTTCCGTCTGAATCACTTTCAGAAAAATCTAAATTTTCATTATCATTACCATAATTTAAAACATCTGACTGAAACAATTTCAGAGCTTCGGCCGCAGAAATACGCATTCAGCAACCTGTACTTGTGGTTGTAACATTGGTATTCATGGCACTCGAAAACGAACTTAGAAAATGCACTGTTGAAAAAAAAGTAGCTATGAATCCGATAGTCTATGCACGTGTGGCTTGGGATAGGAAATGTAGTTAAAAGGAAATTTTTAGAGTGACTTTTCCTGAATAGTTTAATCCGAACATTAAAAACAAGTACGGAGCCATTTGCGAAGCAATATGTACATGACGTAAGATTAATGATGACAGCATTGTTTGAGCAAAACGGAACTTCTCAATCAATGCTCACACCGTTGTTCGGGCCTCAAAGAGTTTAATAACCATAGAGAAATGAACGGACTAACGGCTTTAACTACATTTATTGCAAAGGTAGCAATTTTAACCTGGCAATGAGCATCCAAAGTTATGATTGCAGGGGGTGTGATCATGGTAGCCAAGTGTAAACATTGGCAGATCGTATAATGTGAGATTGTGGTAGACAGTGGATTAAGGTCTCACTGCTCCAACTTGCAGCTAATCAGAGTGTCAAGTTAAACAAATAATAAAATACTGACCTTTAAACTTGCTGAAGTCCAAGTGTGTTTCCCTGATGGAGAAATCTGCTTGGAACGGGGCTATCTGTTCCCTCAGTATCAGCAGATGCTTGATCAGAAACAGCTCCCCATCGAGTGTGCTCTGCTGTAGGTTGTCAAACAATAAAAGCTTTAACAGGGTTTTCTAAAAACAATCATCTGTGTGACTGTCTGTCGTCAGTAGCTCTAAGAATTACAATACAGGGACTGAGCTAAGAAAATCAATGAATTCAGAAAGCCAGGAGGATGTCCAAGAGATACCCTGCGAGTGAACGCTGAGGTGAAAGGTCAGACGCTTCAGGTTAGAGTTTATAGATAGTATCAAACTGATTACACAGGACGGAACAAAACAGAGGAATCAACTGTGAGCCCTATGTGACATAAAACACAGGATAAATACAATGATGACATTTCAACCATGTCCAGTTTTCTCACAAGGGAAACAAAAATTGTAAAGTTACAACAACAGAGTTATATGCTTAATATCTACAGCATCCTGTCATTTCTAACTGTCAAAGCTTCTGAGGCTGCAAGAAATGCTGCACCACACAAAGTGGAATATGTTTTTTATTTTAAATGATAACATAAGCGAACAAGTGTACAGGTTGTGAAAATACTTACTTTTCTTTTGACAATGCCTTCTCTTGCATTTTTCAGGGACACGATACAGGCTTGCAATGCCTCCTGTGACAGGCCCTGGAATGTGGTTTTCTGTCAGATCAGAGAAATGTTATGTATTGTTTGATATTAACGTTACAGTGATCAGTAACAGCGATGAAACACAGTTTAACAATAACATAGCTAGGTATTCTACTGAACAAATGTTTAAAGTGAGTCCTATCAAAAGAATTTGCACTCAAATAAAATTATGATCCTTAGAAGTGGCACTATATGTTAATCCCTGTGTATCCACAAGGGAAGCAAAGAATAGTAACAATACACTACAAAGCTTACATGACTAAAGAGAAGTGACATGAAACTGGCTATCCAATTCATTCATGCAAAATTCAACCAACTTTAAACAAGTCTGCAATAGGTTTGGCATGATTTAGTTGAGGATACTATGAGAAAGGGAAAACTGGAGCATGTTATAACAACAGGAAAGTTGGAGGGGAAGAGAGGATGTTGTACATTTGGCAACATAGCATGAAAGAACATCTGTGTAATAAATGACTCTCCTTACAACAGTTGCGGCGTCCGTGGCTAAGGCGTTGCGAGTCTGACTCGTAATCCAACGTACCGTGATCGAAACCTACGTGGGCTGCATGGATTTTTATTGTCGCAGTTTGACCCATCCTCAAATGGGTACCAGGATGGGCTGTCCTGGGAAAGTAAAGACGGCTGGCGTAATGCTGACCACATTACCCACCGAGTGCCGATTGGTCTGTAAAAATATGAGTGCTCTTCCCATATGCCAGATGCGCCTAAGGGCGTGTAAAGGGATCTTTACTTTTTTTTACTTACAACAGTTAGAAGGTTGTGGACATTATATAGCATGATAATTATTATATATAAGCAAAAACACAAAGCTAATATTAACAATGAAACCTGCATCAAACTCTTCTTCACATTCTCAAAGACACCAACCTGAAAAAAAAGCAGCATTCAACCTGACATACACAGTTTAATCTATAATAGACCCTATGAAGGCCATTTTATTTTTGTGCCAGGGTATGTGGGTGTAAGAGGAAACAAAAACACTAATTGGCTTGCTGATGGGACGGACTACTGCTGTAAATAGATAAGCAATGATGACAATAATAAATACCACCACATAGATGGGACAACTAAAAGAATCAAATGAACTGTGAATCAGCAACACTTTTCAGAATGTGAGAACAGCAAGAGGAGTGAAGCCTGAAAAAAAGTGCACATAGGTTGCAAATCAAGAACAGTAGAGACAAAACTGGTATTGTAAGCAATGACACACAGAGAGATATACTGAGAAGTGGATCATAGCACATATGGATCAAATGGTTAAATATACAGGGAGGATAGTCAGTGAACTATCTGCACTGACTGGAAGTATATTCTCTAATATTCATTTTTGATGTTTCTGTAGCAAATGGTTAGATATTATATCCACTAAATAGTTAAATCAGTTATTAACTTATATCATTAGTTTACTAAAAAGATGGTATCTAAGCCTCTTATGTGCCTCCAGAAGATTGGAATAGGATTGTCAAAGTTAAACACAACTCAGCAAATAAAGGTAACAACTGTGTGTGTGTTGTGTTTTACACTGTCTCCAGATATACATTTTTACACACACACAAATCAGTCCCCCCACTTTTTCAAAACTGTTTAACAAAATTGATTATTGTAATTTCTACTTTGTCAGTTAATGGATTTGCATTTTAATAATACTACTGATACAGTAGAGCCACAGTTAGACAAGAACAGGCTTACATCTATACATCTGTAGAGCTTGGACAGTGTGACCAAGGTTCTCCTCACGGTTGGGTACCACATGCCATGCAAGTCTGCTGGTGACATAGGCATGTTGCTACCAGGGCCATCAAAGTCTGAAAAGAAAAACAAAGGATACCTGTAATAAAACAAGCATGCACATGAGAAACAGATTTAGGAAGGAAAGAATTCCAAAAGAAAATCCACGACAAACGCTGCTGGGAGAGGCCTGAGGCGTGTCACGTGGCAACCTGATGACTTACAGCTAGCAACTTGATGACCTGCAAACTGGCAACCTGATGACTTACAGCTAACAACCTGATGACCTTCAACTGGCAACCTGATGACCTACAACCAGCAACCTGATGACCTACAACTGGTAACATGATGATCTACAGTCGGCAATCTGATGACCTACAACTGGCAACCTGATGACCTATAACTAGCAACAGGAAGAGCTACAACCGGCAATCTGATGACCTGCAACTGGCAACATGATGACCTACAACTGGCAACTTGATGACTACAACTGGCAACCTGATGATCTACAACTGGTAACCTGATGACCTATAACTAGCAACAGGAAGACCTACAACAGGCAATCTGATGATCTGCAACTGGCAACCTGATGACCTACAACTGGCAACCTGCTGACTTACAACTGGCAACATGATGACCTACAACTGGTAACCTGAGGAATAACAACCAACATTATGGATAAGAAGACGGTGAAAAGAAATATGAAAACAATTACTTACTTCTCTCTAAAGGCACTTCAGTTAGTTCCTCCTCTGTAATCTCAACTACAGAACCATTAGACGCTGCAGGCCCCTCAGCGGAGTCCCCAGCCCCTGTCAGCTGTGCAACCTCATTAGAGGTGCTTGAGGCATTCGAGGGAGTGCGGGAATGGCTGGCCCTGGGTGGTTTGCCTTTCTTCAAACTTTCAGCTATACTCTGTATTACAGATGAATAAAGTGTTATTTAAATTCACTGGCTGAGTTAATTTGCTTTGTCGTCTTTGCATTCACCGGCTATAAACTCTAGCATTAAGTTCTGGTTGTTCTTCGCTTCTGGACTTTCATCCTGTTAAAGAACGGGTTTTGCATGCAATCCGTTTTCCCAGATCTGACCTATTTATATGCAGACGGTTTTCTTTGCCTCTCAGGCCGATGCACCCCGACTTGGAAGGAAACATCCCTAATGAGTCGCCTTGTAAGTTATGCTTATAAGGAAGGCATTCAAATATACACCTTCACCACTGCTCCAGTTTCTTCTCTGAAATCACTCAAGAAGCTTCTCAACAAAGTGCACAAATTCTATCGCTACCACGTGTGGTCCACACTAGTGTATACAGCGAGGCTTTCCTTGGCTGAGTGAAATAAATTATGCTTGCCCGAGGATTGCCACACTGTGTACAGGCTACAATTATTTCTCCACTGATAATTAAAAACCCTTAATCTTACTGATGAGCAGAACATGAATGGGAGTGGAGTAGGTCAGAGAGTACTGCATCCACCTTTGACAGACTTGGTTCATCTCCTGGTGCTGACTGATGATAATTGCCCAGAAACCTTGGTCAGAGGGTTGGACATCTAACCTTGCCGAACAAGAGTGGAATTATACAACAGTTAGGCCCTATGTGTGCATGATGCGCCGTTAAAAGTTCCCCAAACAGGAATTAAAACAAGAGCATGTTAAACAGACTGCTGCCTAGGCACATTTTACGTAATTAGATACACTACTACCAACATGAACAAATCATTTACAGCATCTGAGATTCTGATTTACACTCAAATGGATCCTGGCAGTGCTGCTGTTAAGATTATTCTTGTGTGTTCTATAGGAGGAGACTGGAGTTCTTATGGTGATGTCCCTGTGCAAGATGAGCGATCCTTTGCAAACCAAACATTAATGAAACATACATGCAATGATGCTTAAGGTGGCCTTTCTAACCTTTCTAAGATGGGTCTGTCTAAGAAGTTATATCTGCTGGTTAAAAAAAAAAACTAAGACAAAATGAGGGAACACACTAATTACCTAGTGTCACACTGATAGTAGTAGATGCATGAGGTTTTCAAATATACTCAGTTAAATACAGTAACTTTTGCCAAATGCTTGAAATAGTTCAATATTTTTACACTGCTACTCCCTATGTGGATTCTAGGATCCCATTTTGGATGAAAAAAGAATACACCTACGGCCTCATAAGAGCTGATTCCTTTCAAGTTCGACTGCCACTGCTAAAGAGACGAAGAAACAAAAAGCCAGACTGTAAAATGACTGTGCCCACAAAACTCCAGAAGATTATACTGCTACAGCTGATCTGGGAGGCATGATAGGACGGTGGCTAGAGATTGATAACTGCTGTTTTGATTCTCCTGACATTTAAAAGTTTTAACATCTAGTTGGATGAAGTTTTTAATTTGCTCTGTTTAAGCATCTCCACCACCAAAGGGCAGTATGTCTCACTGTAGTCATACAAACTCAAATAAATACACACTGGAACAGTTATGGTGTTTGCATAATCAACCAGTCCTCAGTATTATTTCATTTCCTGCCTTCATAAATATTTATGTTCCCAACAATGTATTGTGTGTGATATGATAGCATCCATGTGTGCCAAACGTGGTATGAAGTAATTCGTGGGAGCATACTATAAAAACTAGCCAGTTACTGTGCAGTCCCTATATTCTACTTGTTTTCTTTAGATTCAGTCAGTGCGAAACTGGCATTGCGAACGTACTTCATAATTACAAGGTACTGGGTTTTATCCCAGCCATGGGTGATTTGGCAGCAGGCCGCCTAGCGTTGTTTTAACACTTGTATTGAGAGCTTACCATTCAGAAGCAATGGCAAACTAATGAATGTAAAATTGCCTAGTGAACTCACAAACAGCAAAAAAATGCTAGGGTTGGTTCTGCAACATCCTGTAAAGGATATATAACTAACTTTTTGTGCGTTGTGTGTGAAAGCTTTCCAGCTTTACTCACTGCTTCTGTGACAACAACTGATTCAAGCTTTTTTTGTTGCCTGTGTGACACCTACTGATTTATTTACTTTCTGTTGTGGCTTCAGCACCTGTTATAAAAACCCTTTAGACTAAAAGAAGTTAAACTGCAAGAAAAATGTACACAAACACAAGCATCTTCACCTCCATCATCTCCAACTTCTCAGGGTAAGCCAAGTCGCCGGCAGCAGCCTTGTACTGTAAAATGTCTGTGTTGATGTAGATGTAAGTCCTGTACACAAGCCTCTCCTGCACATCCATCAGCATCTGCTGACAGATGGATTCAAAAGCTGCCAGCTCCTGGGCTGCAGAAGAGAGCAACAGCAGCATCAGCAAGAAGAAATCCTGTGATCTAGCATATTACCTTCACATTCCCTAGCATCTGGGGTTGAGGAGTTGACTCAAGACCCAACAACACAGCACTCAGGACATTCCCAAAGTGCTCTGTACCCATCTTCAGCAGCTAGCGCAGAGTTCCAATACCAATGGTGCCAGTAGCTCACGCTATATAGGTGGAAGTTCAACAGTTGATTCACGACAATTCTCACCCAGATGATCTGATTATCTGTACAGATGATTCTGTGTTGAAAGAGAAAAGAAGTGCTTGGGGGTTCGTAGTGAAAGCCAATGGAAAATCTTTAGTGCAGGACAGCCTAGCATATGATACCACAACATCTAGCATGAGAATGGAGGTGGAGCGGTCACTGCAGTTTTCGCTGTATGATGGCTAGAGAACAAGATGCATACACATGTAATAATTTTAACAGACTCTGAAAGCATGCTAGGAAAGAAAAAGACAGGGATGCTTCGAGCAGAGTGGCAAGCTTCACTGGGAAGGTCAGGGGTAGTGAGCATGCATTGGATCTTTTCTCCAGGTATGCTGGTGTGGTGGGGAACGAAAAGGCAGACAGATTAGCTGGATCTGCACCACTGGGTGGTGAACTTATATATGACAAGGCAGATATGGTCAAGGCCCTTTGAGAACAAGTAACAAAAACAGGAGAGAAACAAGATTATTTTGGCCTGAAGAGAATGATGCACCTGGGTGTAACCAGAGGGTCTGGCCAGCTCACTCCAGAGCAAAGGCAAGACGGACATATAACCAGATTACAACATTAGTACTGGAACTCTGCGCTGGCTGCTGAAGATGAGGACAGATCGTGCCTGGGAATTCCCTGAGTGCTGTGAAGTTTTCAAAGCTTTTAAACATCCCCTAGCAACAATCTCCATTATGGGATAATCTTTCTTTAATACCGAGTGTTGGCCCAAACTAAACGCAAAGACCATCACTGATGAGAAAGAGCAAAGGTGGTGGAGGACTACATCCCATCCACGGTATTGAAACAACTGCACAGCACAGAACGGAATGGAAGAATCAACTGTGAGCTCTATGTGACAAAACAGCATAATAGGATTATGGTGACGATGAGTGCTGACTGTTAAAACCTCAAGAGTTTCACAAAGCAGCTGCCACATGCCTATCTTTACTTTTATACTGTCAACGTATGGGAACTCTTCTACAGAGGAAGGCAACAGGGCACATGTTGGTATGTTTGAGGGCTTGATATCAATTCTGGATTCATCAGCAACAATTTATGTTTGCTCTGAAATAACCATGTGAATATCTCTTACACAACTGACAATTTGCTTTAAGTCTCTGTTGTCACCATATAGTGTCTCTTTCATTTAGGACAATGTGATAAAACAATGACGACATGAGCGGGAGGCACCCACTTACGGTTCTGTCGGACATGCTCTTCCATCATCTCCACTTTGAGAATGCTGCACAGTTCAGACAGGGTCTCAAGGTGGTTGATGTGGATGATCAGTGGTCGCAACACATCATACAGGCTGGTGCAAATTCTCTCCAGCATAGCACTGCAATAAAACAAAGGAATAGTTTCATCACAGAAAGGCAAAATCCCAATTAAGCAAGACAATTATGCAAGACAATAATCTCCCCCCCCCCCACTTCCCCAACACAAACATGTGGACTAAAAGTATGTAGTACCATAACAGTGAGCTGCAGATTCAATCACCAATGGTTCTTGACTACGCCCACCACAGTCAGTGGTTGTGAATTGTAGTTTTAGAATAGCAAGTGGCCTGTTGCCAAGAAGTGGTGGGGTGTTATGTGATTAACTGCGTGTGCAACTACTGATTTTTTGCCACAGTTGCTTCTATCGATGATAAACTGCATTTCTAGTGATGGGCTGTTTATGTTCTTAATTCAAGGCTATAGTGATATCTAAGAAAGGCAAAAAGCCAATCAAACAAGGCAAGACTGATATCAAATAAAAAGGTAAATGTAAAATTGAAAACAAGAAATAATCCTCTCAAATAAAGGCAACAAAATGTTCAAACAAGACAATAAAAGGTAGGCTCAGAAAGACCTAACTGGAAATAAATTATAAGATAAAGTTACATTGCCGGCTTTGTTATAGATCATAAACACGGAATATTGCTCCTCCTCCTGCTGCTGCTTCTACTACAATAGAGCTAACTCATGCACGCACGCATGCACACACACACACACACACACAAAATAAATGCACATTGAAACAGATGTATTCAAGAACTTTTTTAAAGTAGGATTAAATTATGGTAGCCCAGACTAGTAGACTTTACAGATATTAAGACTTATCTACACTTCAGGGTAGTAGACTAAAGAGACCTTAAGACACATCTATACACCAGGGTAGTAGACTAAAGAGACCTTAAGACACATCTATACACCAAGGAAGTAGCCTAAACAGACATTAAGACACATCTATACACCAGGGTAGTAGACTAAAGAGACCTTAAGACACATCTATACTCCAAGGAAGTAGCCTAAACAGACATTAAGACACATCTATACACCAGGGTAGTAGACTAAAGAGACCTTAAGACACATCTATACTCCAAGGAAGTAGCCTAAACAGACATTAAGACACATCTATACACCAGGGTAGTAGACTAAAGAGACCTTTAGACACATCTATACTCCAAGGAAGTAGCCTAAACAGACATTAAGACACATCTATACACCAGGGTAGTAGACTAAAGAGACCTTAAGACACATCTATACTCCAAGGAAGTAGCCTAAACAGACATTAAGACACATCTATACACCAGGGTAGTAGACTAAAGAGACCTTAAGACACATCTATACTCCAAGGAAGTAGCCTAAACAGACATTAAGACACATCTATACACCAGGGTAGTAGACTAAAGAGACCTCAAGACACATCTATACTCCAAGGAAGTAGCCTAAACAGACATTAAGACACATCTATACACCAGGGTAGTACACTAAAGAGACCTTAAGACACATCTATACTCCAAGGAAGTAGCCTAAACAGACATTAAGACACATCTATACACCAGGGTAGTAGACTAAAGAGACCTCAAGACACATCTATACTCCAAGGAAGTAGCCTAAACATACATTAAGACACATCTATACACCAGGGTAGTAGACTAAAGAGACCTTAAGACACATCTATACTCCAAGGAAGTAGCCTAAACAGACATTAAGACACATCTATACACCAGGGTAGTAGACTAAAGAGACCTTAAGACACATCTATACTCCAAGGAAGTAGCCTAAACAGACATTAAGACACATCTATACACCAGGGTAGTAGACTAAAGAGACATTTAGACACATCTATACTCCAAGGAAGTAGCCTAAACAGACATTAAGACACATCTATACACCAGGGTAGTAGACTAAAGAGACCTCAAGACACATCTATACTCCAAGGAAGTAGCCTAAAACAGACATTAAGACACATCTATACACCAGGGTAGTAGACTAAAGAGACCTTAAGACACATCTATACTCCAAGGAAGTAGCCTAAACAGACATTAAGACACATCTATACACCAGGGTAGTAGACTAAAGAGACCTTAAGACACATCTATACTCCAAGGAAGTAGCCTAAACAGACATTAAGACACATCTATACACCAGGGTAGTAGACTAAAGAGACCTTTAGACACATCTATACTCCAAGGAAGTAGCCTAAACAGACATTAAGACACATCTATACACCAGGGTAGTAGACTAAAGAGACCTTAAGACACATCTATACACCAGGGTAGTAGACTAAAGAGATATTCAGATTAATCAACACTCCATGGTGATGGCGTGATGCTGACCACATCACCTATCTTGTGCCAATGTGTATAAAAATACAGGTTTAGCCCTATATGCCCTATACGCCCGAAGGCGTGGAAAAGAGACGTTTTTTTTTTTACACTCCATGGTAGTAGACTAAAGAGACATTAAAACACATCTATACCCCAGGGTAGTAGACTAAATATAGATTAAATACAAGGGGTGTTTATTTGAAATCCGTTCCAATGGTTTTGTAAAAAATGCATGAAAGAAATATCAACAGGCGTGGTTAAATTTAATGAAGTACTCATTTTGAATAAATTATGCAGTATGGCTTAGTCAGAAAAAGTCGTCTTTGGCATTCAGGTAAGCATCCTATTGCTTTGGTAGGTGGTAAATGTCATCCACAAAAAAGGACTGTGGTTGCTCAGCGAACCAAGGTTTGACTCTTATGAACCAAGTTTTTTACTACATTCGTTAAGTGTGAAATCGCTGTCCCTGAGATATTTTTAAGAGGTCCAAACAAAAGAAAATCAGATGGCGACAAATCAGAAGCTCCCACCTCTCCCGTGCTAATGCTTCATGCACAGTGTTTGCAACATACAGAAGAGCATAATCGTACAACAAATCAAATAGCAAGAAAGCATGCCAGGATGTTTAATCTTGATGGTGGCTTCATAACTGTGTCTAGTGTTAGCAAGTAGTGGGCGGGTAGAGCTGGAGCTGACACCAAGTTCTTTAAAGTCTGCTAACAGCAGCCCTTCAAGGTTAAAGAAAAAAATAATGTGCTCAGATTAATCCTACCAGCTGAAACCTGTAACTTGAATTTTGTGGTTTCTGGTCACCCAGCATCTTTCCAATGCATGCTCTCTCTGTTGTTGCTTGGCTCAGAGTGGTGACATCACTATTCTTCGCCTGCCACTATGCAGACAAAAAATGCATCACCCTCTGCTCTGTAAGGCAGCAAGTGGTTCAAATACCATTCCATGCTTTCCTGCCTTTTGGTGGTTGGTCAACATCAGCGGTACCCACTGCCATCACACCTGCCCATACTGCAGTCTCTCATGTCCCAACTGACATATCAAAATCTTCTGTTAATAAACGTTATGCTTCGACTACGGTTCGCCTGTACTGCTGCATCCATTTTGGCAATGGTTTTTCCTGTTGTAATAATATGTGCTCGACCTGGTCGTGGAAGATCTGTTATGAACTCACATCCTCTGAAAAACTTGTATGTCCAGTCTATCACTATCATCTTCAACAAATTTTTGTTACTGTATGCTGCCTGCTTTTTTCAATGAATGCCCCATGATCATCCTTTTAATGAAAGTAACTGAGCATCATTGGATCAACTCGGCCATTTTCTCAATGAACATAAACAGAACCTAAGCATCACAGCATGATAAGCACATGCTCTTTCTTTCACTGATCAGTACTTATCACATGTCTATGATAGAGGATCATGTTCAGTCAGTACTTATCACATGTCTATGAAAGAGGATCATGTTCAATCAGTACTTATCACATGTCTATGATAGAGGATCATGTTCAGTCAGTACTTATCACATGTCTATGATAGAGGATCATGTTCAGTCAGTACTTATCACATGTCTATGATAGAGGATCATGTTCAGTCAGTACTTATCACATGTCTATGATAGAGGATCATGTTCAATCAGTACTTATCACATGTCTATGATAGAGGATCATGTTCAGTCAGTACTTATCACATGTCTATGAAAGAGGATCATGTTCAATCAGTACTTATCACATGTCTATGATAGAGGATCATGTTCAGTCAGTACTTATCACATGTCTATGATAGAGGATCATGTTCAATCAGTACTTATCACATGTCTATGATAGAGGATCACATTCAATCAGTACTTATCACATGTCTATGATAGAGGATCACATTCAATCAGTACTTATCACATGTCTATGATAGAGGATCACATTCAATCAGTACTTATCACATGTCTATGATAGAGGATCATATTCAATCAGTACTTATCACATGTCTATGATAGAGGATCACATTCAATCAGTACTTATCACATGTCTATGATAGAGGATCATATTCAATCAGTACTTATCACATGTCTATGATAGAGGATCATGTTCAATGCAGGCAATTACTGGCGGTGCAACACAAACAGGTTTCAAATGAATGCTCCCTAAACATCTAAGCACCCAGGGTATAAGACAAAGCACAGACATTAAGATACATGTACACCCAGAGTAAAAGGCTAGACAGTTATTAGGCTACATTATTACAGCGAGGTAGAAGACTAAACCCCAGATAAGAAGACTAATCAAGGCAATAAAGTTAAAAAGACCCTTTTCCACACCATTAGGCAAACAGTGCTAAATCTATTTTATATAGACCAATCGGCACTTGGCTGCTGATGTGGTCAACATCATTGTGACCACCTTTACTACCCAGGACTTTACCTGATACTCATTTTAGGCTGAGTGGTCCTGGGAGCCAAATTAAAAATTCTGAATTAATGTTCACTTTCATCAAACAACAAAACAACTTACTCTAAGAGAGGTGTTGGTCTAGAGAAAAAGTTGAAGTATAACTGGTACTCATCTTCACAAACATGTACCATGAATGCACAGCCACTTCGCATCTGAGGATTAAAGGTTACAATGACAAAGTTACGAATGCATGAATGGAAACAATGAATAAAGAATCAACATCACCTCACTTTGTGGCCATTTAGTCTTATTAGGTCTTTATCTGGTTTGGTAGTGTGAGGTGATTATGCAGATTGCCAGCTAGTACCTATAATGGTTCATTACTGGGGTTGACAAAAGTCACTATAATCATCAATTGGTTTCAGAGACCCATTTTGTTAGGGGAAAGGGGGGGGGGGGGGTACAACTGGACCCCTCCAAATAAGAGTGTCATAAAAGGCCAGGACCAACAGTCTGCATACAAATAAATCAGATCTGTTAAATGGAACAAGAATAAAGTCCAGATGTGGACTAACAACCAGAGCTTTCCGCCGGAGTTTACAGTCGCATGAAGAAGAAGAAGCAGCAGCAGCAGCAAAAGCAGGAGCAGCAGCAGAAGAAGAAGAGGTAATATTATAATAATATGAACAAATATACCTAACATAAGCTAAAAGTTAGTTGGGTATCCTTTACAGGACGTTGCATAACCAACCCCAGCATTTTTTGGCTGTTGTGGTTTTTCTAGGCAAATGTTACATTCAGTAGTTTGCCATTGCTTATTGAATGGTCAGTTCTCGCAACCACTCTAGAAACCAATGCAAGTCCAAATACCTAACCAAAAATACCATCAGTTTTTCAGTATATTGGCGAACTGTCCAGTAAAATAAACTTTAGATATTTATTTATGTTAAATGATAAACTCCTCTCTCTTACTATACTCTTCTCTTTAATTCTCTTTCAAAACTGTTTTTATTCCCTATTTATTTATTTCTCTCATTGTGAAAATATGAACATGTGTAAATGCACACTTTTACTAGCTACTTTTTTTTTTTTTCTTTTTACTCTTCTTTTACTTCTGTTTCTCATTATATCACTATAGGGAGGTCAAGGACACTTTTTAAGCCAGTGGCGCACCAGGCATATGATGCTAGATTTGTATATTCCAGTCAGCACTCAGTGTGGTCAACCACACCAGCTACCTTTACTTCCCAAAACATCGCCTAGTACCAATTTTTTTTTAAACAAATTCACTGTGGATTTAAATCCAGCCCCTTTGTGACAGCAGGCAAACATTTAGACACTACGCGGTTCTCTCCATCACAATACTTTTCTTCTTATACCTAAATCATAGAACAGTGCTGGAATCTCTCTCGCGCCCTCTTCCATCTCTCCCCATTCCAGCTGCTCTGTGCTTTTGCTGTCACTTCCCGTGTGGGTTCTGGGGCTGCACTGTGGGGAATAAACAGAGACCCACTGCCCCCTAACAAGAGGTTATAAGTGTCAACCAAACAGGCATGTTTCTGTCAAAGCTTGAGTACGTCTGTCTGAGAGACAAGGTCCCTACAGTCAGCATACAAACAAGCCAGATATGTAAAATGGACGTGTCACTGTCACTGAAAACTTTCCTTTTTGACACTAGCAAACTACAGCTCATTAGAAACAAGGACATAGAAGAAGAGTTGACTTACTAGAGCACAGTGATCCCGCAAGTGTTTGGAGGCCAGGTCCACAACTGTGGTTGAGATGCTGGGGCCCAGCAGAATCTCCCTCTGGTTGAAGTAGTAGTGGTGGCACTCAGTGAGGGCTTGGCTGTATCTAGAATTGATGTGAGAAAAGGAAGAAAATTACCCAGGCTGGGCAGTACAAATGAAGTGCTGACACTTCACTAATACGAATTATGGCCCTTGGCATTCCATATCTATTTATTCTCGGGCCCAATGGTTCTCCTCATTCCACTAGAAAGACATCAACATGGCTGCTTTTGCATACTTAGTTAGGTGATTTTGTGTATTTGTGTGGTTTTGTTCAATTTATGTACGTGTTGGTGAAGGCTCTATAGATGCAACAAGGTTTTACAGAAGAATTCTTCAAATTTGCTGGACAGCCATAAAGAGCAACCAGACCTTTTGAAAGAGTTGAGTGCTGCGTTAGGACAGTTCTTCTCTATGGAGCACAAACTTGGAAAATAGACTGAAAGATAGAGAGCATGCTCAGAGGTTTTGAGGGAAGATTCTCAGAAGATTGTTGGGGTTCACATGGGAAGATAAAATCAGCAATTCTAGATTACAACAAATGACTCTGAAGATGTAAATTTATAAATCAAAAAACGAAGATGGAGGTGGATTGGACATGTCCTCATAATGAAGAAAGAGAGACGGCAGAGATAGGCAATGCAATGGATACCACAAGGACAGCAAGGAAGAGGCAGGTCCAGAGGCACGTGGAGGCAAACTTTTGAGGCTGAACTCAAGGCTACGTGAAGGACAAAACTGGAGATAGAGAGGATGGCTCAGAATCGAATTGAGTGATGACAGTTTGTATCTGCCTTATGTGTTTTTGGGAATGATGAGGATTTACTAACTGATTGACTGAGTGCTTGAAGACAGCTTATTATAACCGTCATCATTTTTTAAGTCATATTATAAGAAGAAAAAACTGGAGCTTATTGTGACCACTGGAGAGTTGTGGAAAAAGAGGCAGGGAAAGACAATGTGAGAAGATCTTGACAGTCCTTTATCATGGCATGGAAGGGGTATCAGCACATGAACTGATACATGCTGTCACAGATTGCAGATTGTGCAGATTATGGAGAGGCATGTTTTCCCATGCCAGTTCAGCAAGGCACTTGATGATGATGAATAGTAATTTTAAGTACAAGTTTAGCACCGTGTGTCTGCGGTGTCAATGGTGTGACAAGTGTCCTAAAATGCCTAAAAATGTTGTATTACTTTGTAAATCCTTTTGGTCTTGAAACAGTTAATTAAAGTCACAACTTCTTAATATCACAAGAATTTAAACAATACCTGACTGGAACTGAATTAGGCTATTGCTAAACAGAACCAACCAAACACATCAAAATTCATGCTCCTAAACACACTCCTGCACACACAGATATCGCAAGTAATATAAAATAAAGACTGCTTTACAACATAAACAGCAGTAAAGAAAGAAATAAGGAATAAACAGTATGAGGAGGAAACAGAAAGAAGACTACAAAAAATAGCAATCTTTTATATACTCATTGTCCTTTTCTGCCCTGATCTCCAGCTGTTCTGTTAAAGATTTCACCCGAGGGAGCATTGGCACGGAATTTCCCATAGAACAATGTGAATCCATTGTCGGCCATTGCTGGGGCATCCTATAAGGAAAATATGTTAATAAAACAGTTTTGAATAAAAAAAAAAAAGAACAGATTGCAATAAAATGTACTGCCTGGTGTAGTTTGCTGTATCTTGTCAGGTGCATCCTACAGTAATATAATTAAATAAGATGAAGCAAATAAATGGATCTTTTTAAATAGAATTATCCACCATACTCAAATTAACTTCCTGTTTTACCAGGGCAACAGCAAGTTCACAATGCCATTTTGTCTAAGCAAGGTTGATACTGGCCATTTTCAACCAACTGAATTAGCCTATGATTGTTCGATGTGTACAGAATTACAAATGTGTTGCTCTTGTTAAGTATCTGGCCAGAGTTGAAACCGAAATGCATGGTGAATGACGCATGATCTTTTCTACCAATACCTTGCCAAGAACTTATGCTATTTTTTATTCTCAGTTTGTACAGCTTATACAACACTGTTTGCTTTTTTAATCATTTCACCTGAAGAAGCTGCAAAACCGACACACCCAGCTAGGTCAAATTCTCCATATTCTCCATAAATGTCATTTTTCCGACTTGTTTATAGTGACTTTTTTATGAGACACATAGTTAATGCTATTTACTGGTTATTTTTGCAAATGTTTACAAAGGTCAGGATATGAATCTGTTAACTAAAAATAGCACTTGGGGGGGGGGGGGGGGGTGGGGGGGGTTGTGGTCTTTCAGCCAAATAGCTTTTTTAAAGCCAAGTTGAGATCAAGTTTTCCTGTAACCCCCGTGTGGGTTCCAGGGTCCTGTTATAGGGAAAATGAAAATAGACCCACTGCCTACCCAAAAGCATGTCGTAAGAGTCGACGAATTGGGAGCTTCCTTCGAAGTCAGAGTGCATCTGCCTGAGAGGCAAGGAACCAACAGTCTGCACACAAATGTGTCAAATGTGGACGAACAACCAGAACTTTCCACCAGAGTTTACAGCTGGTGAACGCAAAGAAAAAAAAAATAGTTTTACTGTAAGCCTCAGTGATAGATGTCTGGATACAAGAAGAAAAAACCAGCCCTAATTTTGTCCTTATTATTCATCACAAGCTTTTTATTTTTCTTCAGTGATCATTTGCTACGTACATTGCAAGAATTAGACAAAGTGCAAAATCAAGCACTCAGAGTTACCACAGGCAGTATGAAATCAAGACTATAGCTGTGATGGAGAAAATGGGGATGACCCAAGCACTGAGTGAACGCAGAGACACCAAGATGCTTTTACAAGCAGAAAAGTTTCTTAGTATGCCCCTATGAATGAAAGATTCCAAAACCTAGCTTTGGGACGACTAAAGAGAAGTAGTTTCATCCACCAGGAGAAACAGCTCTGCAGACAAACCACTGATTTGCCTGCAACTGATAGATCCTAAAATGCTGTCCAAGAACCGACCCCCTGGAGAGAGGAGTATGTTTTCAAAACACATCAAGACAAGTGAAAGGAGTATTTGACAAGGAAGAACAAAACAGTGTGCAGCATAAAACAGCCACCCTCAGTCTACTTGATGATGAATACCCACAGAATCTTTGGGTCCGTGTTTAAACAGATGGGTCTGCAGAAAGCGCAGTCAGAAACGGAGGTGCAGGAGTGTACATTGAGTATCCTAATAATACCAGGGATATAGCCAAAATACCAACAGGAAAGCACTGTCACAACTATGATGCAGAAGTTCAAGCCATCAAGATAGCGGCAGAGAAACTACTAAATACAGGGTATTTTTCACAACCAGTGGTATTCCTGACAGATGCAAAAGCAGTACTTCAGTCACTCCAGTCTGGAAAATTACCAAGCATACGGACACTATTATCCGAACTAGGCAACCATTGTAAATTAGTAATGCAGTGGATACCTTCCCACTGTGGAGTTCCCGGAAACGAAAGAGCTGATAAACTAGCTAAGGAAGGTGCAACTGAAGAACAACCCGACATACCAGTCTCTTATCAACAGAAGAAGAGAATGATCAAATCAATCAGAATGCCACCAAAACTGGCACAAGACGATTACCATATTATGGACAGACCAGAGCAAGTCATTATCCTTCGCCTTAGAACAGGGCACAATCCACTTTGCTGCCACATGTACAACAAATTTAAGATTGGCCAATCAGCCATGTGTACCTGTGGACTGGCACCTGAGAAAACAGATCACATCCTCCAAGACTGTCCCAGATTCAACGCTTCCAGGCAAAACTTCTGGCCAAAAGATGCACTTGTGGAAGTCAAACTTTACGGGCCGCTTAGTGAATTACAAAAGACAGTGAAATTCATACTAGAGACAGCATTGCAGATATGGATAATTTATTTCATGCGAACGAAAGAAGAAGAAGAATGTCCTGGAACAAAGCTTAAGTCCAGAAATGGATGAAAAACCAGGTCTTTCCGCCAGGGTTTACAGTCAGTGAATGCAAACAGACAACTTAATAATTGGCAGACAAGATTAAAGATAAGCATCTGGCTGAAAATGTGAACATTGATTCTGCTGCAGCATTGTTCTCACATGAGTTACTCCCCGTGTGGGTTCTGGGGCCCTATTTTTATGAGAAAAGAATTGATCCACTGCCCCCCTTACAAGCATGTTGTAAAAGTTGACTACATGGGGAGATTTCCTTTGAAGTCCGAGGGCATCTACCTGAGAGGCGAGGAACCAACAGTCTGCAAACAAATAAGCTAGATCTTTAAAACAGATGTACATGCAGAGCTGGTTCTAGAATAAGATCAAAGTCCAGAAGTTGATGAACAACCAGAACTTTCTGCCGGAGTTTACAGCCACAAAGAAGAAGAAGACGTTAATTTCAAATGAATTAACCAACAAAAGCAAACAAACAACATTTAAGGACAAACACCAAATTTTTATCAAGTTTACCAGAAAGCAACCAGACTCAAATTGAAATATTTATAATATATTAATGTATCTGTTGTTTTCCATCTCAGCCATATACACCCTCAAGAACTCATGTAAAATCTGTTGTACACTTGTTGGCTAGATTTTGCAGCTCAAACCTTTCAATGGAATGCTGTACTCATGCCCACTTTTGTAGTCATCTTTACAGCTTACAAGATATTATCTTGCCTGTACACAGAAGAATATGCCTGGATGAAAGGAAATAAAAGAGCTGACAGACTGGCCATGTCTGTGGTAGTTAGAGGAGGAAGTATGTACAGACAGACTGAATGCACAGTATGGTAGAGAGGCTGAGACAAAAGAGTCACAGCCGATGAACCCCCTGTTGAAATGAGTCTTTAAAAGCAAGGACAAGCCTGTAGAAACCAGATGTGGGGCAAGGAAATTAGATATGCCAAACAATTCCTAGTGGGTGTGCTGAGTTTTTAAACACTGAGACCGCTGCTGCATAGGAGAACAAACCACAAATGGTCAGATCGATGTGCTAGGATATCGATATGGACAAGTAACAAGCATCACATGTATGTTATAGTGTTACTATTCCTAACATGTCTTATAGATTTCAGTAACACACAAGTAAATTTGACTGTGCTTTAAATAATGAACATGATTTTTCCAGTACCTTCTTGGGCTGAACTTGCTGTGTTGCTGTCTGTAGGATGTTATTTACTTGGGTTTTGATGAGCCCTAGAGCCCGACTCAAACACTGACGGAATCGAGCAAGGTATACATCACATTCTTTGTAGCGAGGCTGAAATTGGTGAACACAATATTTAGTAAGTTAGCTAGTTAGTGAGGAGGTTCCAACTTCGCTGCAAACAGTTGGCCCCATCACTGCTCCATTCCTGTGCCAATGGAAATCACACAAAATCCACTGTCCCAATTGAAATCTAATTAAAATCTTGTCCGTCCCAAAAAAATCTTGAGACTTGCACACACAAAGCAAAAAATGCATACGGCAGCCGTCAGACATGCCAACATTAACTGTTCCATGGCAGAACTGCAGCTTCCCGTTGGTGCATTGTACATCTAGCCATGGTATAACCAAGGAATATAACAATACATATATCTTCACACTCAGCCTCATGCGAGTAAATGTTTCTGGCAAATATAACATGATGACTTTTCTTCACACTCTATCAAAATAAGTACAGGTCACACAGAAGCATCAGCATAATGATCTAAGTTAAATCACCAGATGAGAAAGCCCCCCTCCCCAAACTTTTTTTTTTACACACAAGTTCATATGGCTCTTAGGCCAACTGTCATGCATTAAAAGTATCAGTTTTTCTCTGGGAAGGAAAGGTGAGTTAGTGAGCCAGACACTACACTACATAATGCCATGACCTAGTGCTTGTGAGGTCCTATCCTTCTGAAAACTACATATCCGTATCTGTCATATGGAAATATTTGTTATCCTCAGTGCATTAACTCAAGCATCCAATACCATCTCCCCCCCCCCCCCCCCCCCCCCCCCCCCTTCCAAACCACCAAAATATGTAGATAAACTTCAAAAACTCTCAAATCTCTAACATCTTCATCTTATTCCTGTCATAAATATAGAAACATCACTTACATACTATTGGGGTATAGCCTTGAGTATGACAATACACAGGGCTGGCTAATTGGCAAGGTCAATTAGCTTCATATCCTTTACAGGACACTGCAGACCCAATCTGGTACCACTGTCAAAGCCAACGGAAGACAAAACGCCTACAGCTGGGATTGAACCTAAAAACCCTAGCATGTATGAAGCGCATTGAAAACGCCTAGGCCACAGATGCTGACAACTGGCAAGGCACTGGGATGTTTTTCTGACAGGCCAAAACTGGACACACATTCTGCAAACGACCTACTAAATATTATTATGATGATGATAACACAGTTCTTTGCCTCCCTTATGAGAAAAAAAACCACACAAACACAAGCATCACACTGCACAAATCAAGATGACAAGTCAAAGGCTCATGCACGCACGCACACACACACACACACAAAACAGAACTTACGTTACTCTTGAGGTAGAGGATACACTCATCCAGTCGAGATAACAATGGTATAATAGTCTCATTGGTGACAGTCAAGGTCTGCCTACTCAGTTTCTGTTGTATACGCACACACAAATAATAAGTTATGAAGAACAAAGGTCAAACAAACATCTATTTATGTGTTAACATTAATTATACATAAGAAAAGTTGCATGTGTCAGATAAAAGGCCCAAATATCGCAGCTTTGCTGTAAACAGATACAATCCAATAAGACCAAACTGGACAAACAATGAAGAAGAAGATACATAACAAAGACAACCGAATAAAATATAGAGGCTTTCACTGTGAAAAATGGGATGCAGAGGTGCTGAACCACACAATGGTCAACAACTACCTACACCTCTCCAGTCATCCTAGAAACAGGATCTCAACCAGGAAATACCTGGTGTAAGTAGTTAAGATCTTGTTTCCTTCTAACTCAGAGTGCATCAGCAAACAACCAACAGTTTGCACTCAAATAAGCCATATCTGTAATTTGGATGTGCACACAACATTCAAGCCTAGAAAACAAGACCAAAATCCAAAATTACAAGTACAACCAGGAGTTTTCACCTGAATTTAAGCCGGTGGAAGCAAAGAAGAAAAATAAGAGTGAAAAACAGTCAGGAAACTGGTTGAATTGCTTGCCTCACTCTGAAAGTCTTAGTTTGCCATTTCAGGCTCTGATGTCTGGTTTGCAAATGTAGCTATTTCGGTGATCCTTGAGGTTATTGCTGGTGCCAGAGTTTGTGTAAGTAAGTAAGTCAATTTTACCCCACCAAGACATCACACAAAGAAATCACCCGGTGACACCATGCAGATGAGGATTACTCATGGAGATGTCCCAGAAACCACGTTCAACCGTCATGTTATATTGCGGCCCCTGGCAACAGCCAGGGTGGTGCTTCAAAATAATGCAAAATTGCATCACACAAGGGGGAAGATGGTGATTATCAGTAACAGTTTGTGGTAAGTAAGTAAATTTTACCCAAACCAGGACACCAATAAAGCGATAAACACCCACTGACACAAAGTGCCACTATAGGGATGAGGATCATCAGTGGAGAGATCCTGGAAACCACATTCAACCTAACAGTTAGGCTATATTGTGGCCCCTGACAATAGCCAGGGTGGGTTCCAAAATAATGAAAAATTGCATCCTACAAAGAGGATGACAAGATTATTAGATTTGTGGTCAATCTTTTGGCAGACAACTTGCAAAAAGGTGCAATAAGGATGATTCTCTTGCCTTAAACGATGACAACATGGTTAATAAAACATGAACATCAAAATACAGTTAACCGTGTCATTTGAGAAGACATTTTGTTTTTTTGCATTTACAGGTTTTTGCTGTTTATTATGGTCAAAGAGAAAGAAATCTGTTAATTCATTTGTTTTTATTGAATATTTCCCTTGATAATGAAAACAAATTCAGTTTCTTGTAACTGAATTGTAATGATTAAACAAACATGTTAATCATCATTTTTAGCGATCTGACAGCTGCAATGAAGCAGTGGCCTTTATTTTTTTCCCATCTACTTGGTGGTCTAGCGGTTCAAGTCCCTGTACAGTTTTAAAAACTAAAAAAATTTCTTCTGCTTTTTTCTTTTCCCCTAATATCTTGGGTAACAGTCTGAGAAAATTATAAGGATGTGTGTTTTTTAAATAAACTTCAGATTTAAGATTGTTGTGGGGCTAAAGGGTTAATAAATGTTTTCTTTATAGAAAGCTGTGTTCTACATGTAATTCTATCTCTCTCATGTTTCCAGCTTGCAGAGGTGCTTGTGTGGTCTAGTTACTCCACAAATTAAAGATAGCACAACCATCTGCAGAAATCTCTCGATTGACAGGTTTAAGGGAAAGGATCTAAGGGACACAGAGGTCTGCTGTGATCCAGATAGCCTTGGGAATTTAAAGGCATACAAAAGCAGATAGCCAGCTACATCTAACACTCTCACTCAGAGATATGATAAAAGCTAGTTTACACTTCTGAAATGCCTTAGTCTTAGTAGAGGTTTCAACTTCCCTGCAATCGAGTTGCCCCCCTACTTGCTCCATTTCTATGCCAGAAGAAATCAAATGAAAGGTCACTCACTGTCCCATGTGAGAAACTGGTGAACAAACAATTATTTCTGGCACAATCCAGAAATGCGTGCACGCAATAAATGCATATGGCAGTTGCTACCAGACATGCAGTTTGTTATTTATGGAAGTAGTCGGGCATGATAAGTTGCCACACACACACACATAGAATTATTACATAAGGTATTTCACCATATTTTAAATGTGATTACATAAAAGAAGTGTAGAGAAGTGAATCATGTGCAGTCAGCAAGGAAATGCAAAACTATGGGTAATCTGCAGAGTTGTGGTTTTACAAGAAGGCTTCCATAAATGCAGAGCTGACACATGACATCGTGGAATCGTCATATCCTGCACTTGACTGTTTAACATCCAATTCGTATGTTGAGCTTTCTACTCGCCATGGGTTTCACCCTTCGGAGATCAGCAGGGAGCAGAAAACTAGCCAAGCTAATTGGTCGAAATGGAGGTGACAAGATGTCATTTTGTTTTTCCGGTGTGCAATAGATACACTGTGACCCTGAAAACAAGGCCGCACTGACCTCCACTAAGCAAACTTTTTTTTTTTTACTTTTTATGTGAAAAATCATATCGAGGCAATTATTAGGAGTTATTGCAGAGATGCCAGGCTGTGACGTAAAATGGTTTCGGCAAGTCTCTTGGTCAAGGACTAGTCTCAGCAGTTTAGTAGTTCTTTCGCTCGAATGATATCCGAAGGTTGTCATTTAGAAGTGTATTCGAATAATGGGCTTTACTCATGCTCCAAATGAGTTCTGATAGACAATTTCCCCCATGCATTGGGGGGTGGGCTCATGAGTGCCAGAGATTTTCTTGGAACTGCATCTCGGAGTGCCACCAACTGCAAGATCCTCTGCCAGCTAAGTTTATGCTCATCTGAGCAATTATCCGTGAAACACGATGGGGACATGTGGTAGGAATCTTGCGTGTGGATCTGTAAAACTAGCACAGATCCAGCATCTGAGGTGAGGTGAATAATACACCACAACGGTCTTAACTTTCCCTCCTGCTTGTGACTGAAATCACGGTACCACAAACCATCTTTCAAATGACTTCACAGTGACAGAACTACTGAACTGCTGAGACTCGGTCCTAAAACCAAGAGATTTTATCGCAGCTTAGATGAGCAACATCTCCTGCAGGCGGTATCTCATAGTACAGCCCTGTCTCCGTACATCCAATGTCAACCCTCAACATCATCATCAATGCGCTGAGGTAAACCATGACAATCTGCCACTTTCAGTCAGCTTATTAGGTTCAAATGCCCATCAATTACATGTCCTCTGGCATAACAGTCAAGTCTTAAATGTCTGATCATCGAAGTCCTATTGTTTGACATAAAAGTTCAAATGTCTGTTACCACAGGTCCAGCTTACCTATGCGTCAGGACTATGCCTGTTGAATGATTTTTGCATACTGTCGTGCTAAGTGTCAAGTTGCAACACTGTTCTTCTTCTTCTCGTCCACCATGTACCTCACTGAAGTGTCAGGCTGTTAAATGTGTTTAACGTGGTGAAGAAGATTGAACCCATTCGTGTGGTCATTCTGGACCTGCAGGCTGCTCCCTGTTGTTCTGCAAAGTGTGCAGCCTGTAATGAATGGGAAGCTCAACATACGAATGTGAGGTTAAGCAGTATGCAGGATGTGACGATTCCTTGGGTGAACCAAGGACCAGAGTGTCCTGTGTCGGCTCGGCATTTATGGAAGCCTCCATGGATGGTGATAACGCATATGGTCTGCCCCTGCGTTTTCTTGAGGGCTGTCCAGCTTACATGCGGTTGTCCTGAATGGGCAGATAAAGGAACAAAGAGGACACCAAACAAAAAAGGCTATATCATGTCCCACTAACCAGCCGGGAAGGCTAAGCAGGTGAACAAATTGCCAGATGAAGACATGTGGTGTAAGACAAAAGGTGTAAATATTGCAGCTATGCTGTAAACAGACATAACACAGTTACTCAGATAAACAATGAAGAAGAAGATGTCCCTGTAACAATGGTTAGAGATAAAAGTGTTGCATTCCTTCAAAGCCAGTGTTCATCTGTCCAAGAGGCAAGAAACAACAAACTGCACACAAATAAGCCAAAAGTTATGAGACACTAGCTATAGCTGATCTACAATGCAAAAACGACCCTTAATGAGGATCATGAAACTACATTACCCACAGAATGTACTCACCACTGATATACTGTCCAACTCATTGAAATATGACAGCTTGTTGTTAATGCTTTCTGCCAGATCCATCAACTGTGTCTGTGTAAGACAAAAAAATTATTAAGAAATACACTTCACTGTAACACAGGAACTTTCAACCTTTATAAAAATATCAAGGATCAATAAATCTCTACCAGTGTCAAGGTACTTGACAATAAATGCTTTGAAACATTATAGACGGTATATTAAGGCTATTGAAACAAAGCAGTTTTAGAGACTGAAACTTGTTTCATCTTCATATCTGCTACTGTTCCAAGTAATACAACTTATTCAGCTGGTTTAAACAAAAACAAAAAAACTGTCCTTAATAAACACAGAACAGAAAGAATTAAATACTAGGCCAGAATCACTAATTCTGCTGATGCTGAAATAAGGGCTCTCAACCATGAGCATACTCGACCAGGGGACGTCATAATCTATTGAGATAGCTTAGTGATCCATGCTGCGCTGTACAGGTGGGCATACACAGCAGCAGTAAATGGAAAAACAGTAAAAGAAGAAAGGTCAGGCATTTAGTTTAACTACTTCTAGCATGACGATGGAGACAGCAGCTCCCACAGGGGCCCACATATGGGTGGCAGAGCAGAAAGTAACTCACACAGTGACAGTGACAGATTCAATGAGTATGCTTAAAAAGATCCAAACTGGCAAATGTAGACTAGAATGGGCTGACAGTTTTCAGAAGTGCTGCCTCAAGAAACTATTTTAGCTGTACACATCAGGGCATACAGGGCTGTAAGGAAATTGACTGGCTGTGCCTGGGTGGCTGTTGAAAGAAGAATGGACAGGACAGACATACTGAATGCGCTGCATTCCAGAGACTCTGAGATGAAGGAGTCAGAGAAAATGAACTCCCAGATGGAAAGAAGATATGCCAATCACCTCCTACTGGAAACGTTGAGCATGGAGACACTGAGATGGCTGCTGCATCAGAGTATGGAGCACAAATGAGTTGCTCTAATGTGCTAGGATGTCGATACAGACAACAAGTAACAGAATCACTAATGTTGAGCTTTCAGAGAAAAAAAACAAAATCCAGTGAACCAAGAGATGAAGAAAAGATGCTGGTGTTGGATAGGACACACCCTAAGAAAGCCTGAGATTATATAATTAGAATGTCTTTGCACTGGAACTTACAGGGGCACAGAAATAAAGGCAGATCAAAATACATATACAGAAGGGAGCTAACAATGCATTTCCAAACATAGTAACATTCATTACAGAACACAGTAACAATACACATTCTTGCACGGGCCTTACACACAGTTTTTTACACTCACAACACATATACAACACACAGTAACATACATGGACAACACTTACAGCAACATACACAGACACAAAAAAAACATTATAAAAGGCACATCACACAATACAATGCAACATACACGGACAACTAACACAACGCATTACTCACACACTGTACGGACAACACATTACACAACATGTAGTAATATACACGCACACTACATACAGTAACATACATTCCAGAACACAGTAACATTAACAATACACATCTTGCACGGGCACACTTTACACAACACACATCAACGACAGTCACAACACAGAAAAATTGACACGAGGCATGGTCACTGTTGTGAGCTGTGCCAAATTTTTTTCTTCTGCCAGACGGTGGTCGATGCATTTTTGCTCCATCTGTAGACTGGAAGGATATCGTTTTGTCGCCCAGCTTCTGAGTTGAGTGCATGGTGTGACACTGTGAGCTGCGGATTTCATTTTGAAATGTTTTTCTACTGTGACTAACGTGGTGGTGTGAACTGCAGATTCAGAAAATGGTATGATGCTTGCTGTCGCAATATTGGTGGTGCCATTATGTGAATGAAATTGATCGTGTGTGCAACTGCTGATCTGTTGGTGACTTCTGCTACCATCCACGATTAACTGGATTTTTAATGTCAGACTGTTTGTGTTAGTCTTCTGATGGCTACTGTATGCTTTTAATGCGTGTGTATGCTAGTATATTTGATGAGACAGCAGTCTGCAAATCTTTCCACAAGGGACTGTGATAAACATTCTGTGTGTTTTTCGTTGGCACAGGAGCGGAGCAACTATGGGGTGACCCGTTTGCTATGAAGCTGAAACTAAGATTACCAGATTACCAGTTACAACACAAAAGTGCAGAAGAAAAAAATGAGACAACGATGAGGGGAAAAAATGCCATAATATGACAGAGACAATGTCTGCATGGATTCAAGGTAACCCTCAGATGTCATTTCCCCTGTGTTCACACAGCAGCCACAGACACTCATGCACAGAACCACTTTTCACTGCACCTATACACACCATCTCAAACAGACAGAGAGACATGTTCTCACATGCAAAATATATAATACCCCCTTCCCCACCACAAAAGATAGGGGTGATATTGTGTGATCTGCATGCAAAATTAAAGGATAGGAAGACCTGGCATTAGTTGGTTAAAGGGGGATAAAGTGCAGAAGAAGTCACACACTGTGAATTATTACAGTCATAAACAGACCATTTTCAATGATAGTCAGTAATGAATAATAAGCAATGATTTTTCCAAAACTACTGTATATTCTGCAATGATCAGCATTAAAAAAAAAAAAACAATGAACTGTCAGCAACACAGTTCACAAACAGCACACTGACTACTGTCACAAGCTAAAAATAGAAGTACTTGACCACAAGTAGTGAGACAACGGAGTTCATGGCAGTGATAAAAGCAATAACGAAGCTGGTGACGCAGACCTTTTCCTGCGCATGCTTTCTCAGTGACTCAATGAGTGTGCTTAGGAAAATGGAAAAGGGCTGGATCCAAAGACACTGGCTGGAGTCCCTAAAGCAGTCAGGGCTGACACATATCAGTTTCTTATTTGTGCACTCAGGCGTGCAAGGAAATGAGCAAGCTGATTGGCTTGCAGGTAAAGCTACTGTGGAGGGTGCATGATTTTCTGAAAGCTCTACGAGAAGTACGACCGTTTTCAAAAACCAAGTGATAACTGTGAATCTGCGACAATGACCAGACTGCAAAAAGAACATGTTCAAAGGGGAGTGGCCAGATAAGAGCACTATGCAGGAAGCCAAAGAAGAATAAGAAACCAACATAGAACTGGTGTCATGAGCCCTACACACTACAGGATTTACTAAGGAGGGGATCCAAGCACTTTCATACTTAATGGTTTGATGTCCAAAGAGGATAATCTGTTGACTAACTAGCTACTGTCAGGGTTCACCCTGTTATGGGACAGTTCAGTATGATAATGATTAATCTCATCATCATACCCTGCGACCCTAAGTGCAACTCAGTACGTGTATACACACGGATAAACGAGCATGAACATATGAGCGAAGCGTAGCTTGGTCATTGACCAGCGGACTTCACGAAGGTTTTGACCATTGCGTGAACTCGGAAGTCCAGAACAAAATGGGTGGACAGGCTAGACTCTGGACAGTCTGGACCAGACGCTTGACGCTTGCTGGTGTGACTGCTGTGTAGCTTGAAGTGGGACGAGAGTTTAGATTGTGCTAGATTTAGTGACAGTTCATGTTGACTTGTAGGAATGTACCAGTAGTTGTAACGCGTTCTGTTCATAGTGTCATTAAATGTGTTTAATTCGTTACAGAGTAGATAACATGTGTTCTAGCTAGATCTCAGTTAATATCTCATGTAAGGTAGTAGCTAGACTGTGTCAGTAGTTGTAACTAGAAGCCAGACTATGCATTGTTGGTGGTGTTAGCACTGTTGACATATTTAGGCCTACACGTGGCGTGTGCTACAGCGTCTTTGGCATCGGGAGACAGCAGGTTGAGCTGGCGCTGTACGGGAGAGTGGTAGCGGCTCAGAGCTTATTTCATGAACATGTAAAGGCGCCTCTAAGCGATTATAAAGTTAGACGCGGCCTGGTTTCAGAATAAGGAGCGCTGCCCCTCCTGAGGTGTACCACCACTTTGTTTGTATCTTTGATAATAAAGATTGTGTGTGTGTTGCAACCAGTGTTTGGCTTGAGTGTGTTTATCAACAGTGTTCCTGTCATTAGCCTATAGCAGAGCCAATGGAATCGAACCCTAGACAATTAGGTTCCTGACAGCTACAAACAGTCAAAATTTGATTACCGACTACTACCTCCAGCCACAAACAGTTTCAACACTGGCCAAACTTTCCTGTGTGGGTTCAGAGACTCTATTTTAGAGAACAAAGAACAGACCCACGCCAACCCCCCCCTTTTCCACCAACAAGCATGTTGTAGGAGGCAACTAATCAGGGGTGTTTCTTTCAAAGTCGCAGTGCATAAGGCAAGGAACCAAAAGTCTGCATACATAAAAGCCAGATCTGTCTAATGGACTCAGGCTATGGTTGAAGTCCAGGAGTGGACAAACAACTAAAACTGTATGCAGCAGTATACAGACAGTGAATGCTTACAAGAAGAAGAGAGTCATCCAGCAACAAACAGTAACAACACTGGCTAGACTGCCTCTGTAGACGTGTGCTCCACATACCTGCTCCGCCAACAGGTGTTCACACTCCTCATGCAGAGTATTCGTTTTGGTTGACACATGTACATACTGAATGTGCAGCTGCTTCAGGTATTCAAGGGCACTGTTCACCTCAGACAGCACACTAGTGCACTGCTCCCTATACTGTCGTAACTCATCTGTGTAATGGCTGCAAAACAAAACAACAACAAAAATTGTATGTAAAAAGAATACTTGGCTACACAGCAGAAAGGCACAGAGATGATCTGAGACTATAAGTCTATCACTCAGGGTTCCTTCACAGGTCACGCCATAATTACTCTATTCCTGTGCTGTTGAAAACCACACAAAATGTCCATCACTGTTACATGTAAAGAGTCAGACAGAAGTCCCGACAATATCCAACAACATGCACACCCATCAAACAGATAAGGCAGCCACCACAGGTGTCAACGCCAACAGTTTGTTACCAGAACTGCAATTCAAATTTTATAAAGCAGCAATTATGACAGACTAGTAGATACACCTGCATTACAGCATAAGGCACTCTATTAATTCTATGGCAACCAGCCGCTCACCAT